TCCTAATGTGCATGCAACTAGCAAAGTAGCATCAAAGTACATGACCCCAAAATTGATAGAACTACAAGGAGAAATAGACAAATCCCCTACAATTGTTGGAGACTTCAATGCCCCTATTTTAGTAATTAATAGATCAAGCAGGAAGAAAATCAGTAAGAAAATAGTTGACTTGAACAGCACCATCAATCAACCTGATCTAGTTGATATGGATAGAATGTTCCACTCAACAACAACAAAATACACGTACCCCTCAAGCTCACATGGAATATTTACTAAAATATGCCGTATTCTGGGCTATAAAACACACTCTAAAAAATTTTAAAGATAGAAATCATTTAAAAATATGTTCTCAGAGCATAATGAAATAAAAGTAGAAATAACAGATAGCTGGAAAATTCCCACAAATACTTGGAATTAAAGAGCACACTTCTAGGGTTAAAGAAGAAATATCAAGAGAAATTATAAAATATTTTGAGCTAAATGAAAATGAAAACACAACTTATTAAAATTTATAGGAGGTAGCAAAAGCAGGGCTTAGAGGAACATACACAGCATTGAATGCACAATATTAGACAAGGAGAAAGATCTAAATGAATAATCTAAGCTTCCACCTATAGAAACTAAAGAAAAAAGAGAAACTGAGACCTAGTACAAGCAGAAAAAAATAAATCAGAAAAATTAGAGTAGAAGTCAATGAAACTGAAAACAGGAAAATACTGGAGACTATCAATGAAGTCAAAAGCTGATTTTTTGGGAAAATCAATAAAATTGATAAACCTCTAGAAAAGCTAACCAAGTAAAAGAGAGGAAGACAGACATTACTACTATCAGAAATGAAAGAGGGGGTCATCACTATTAATCCCATGGACCTTAAAAAGATAGAGAAATAATACCACGGAAAACTCTATGACCAAGAATTTGTTAGAAGATGAAACAGACAAATTCCTCAAGAGACACAAACTACCAAAGTTCACAGAAGGAGAAACAATCATCTGAATAACCTATATCTGTTAAAAGAATTGAATCAATGATTAATAGACCTCCCCAAAGGGGTGCCTGGGTGGCTTATTTGAGCACCTGACTCTTCATTTAGGCTCAGGTCATGATCTCAAGTTTGTGGGATCAAGGCCAACATCAGACTCCTCGCTCAGCGTCAAGTCTGCTTGAGATTCTCTCTCTCCCTCTCCCTGTGCCCTTCCCCCCCACCCCCCACTCATGGGTGTGTGTGCATACACGCACGGGCTCGCTCTCTCTCTCTCTCTCTCTCTCTCTCTCAAATAAATAAATAAATAAATAAATAAAATCTTAAAAAAAAAAATAGACCTCAAAAAAAGAAAGCACCAGACCCAGGTGGTATCACTAGTGAATTCTACAAACCATTTAAAGAAAAAATGATACCAGGCCCCTCCAATCTCTTCCAGAAAATAGAAGAAAAGGCAGCACCTCCCAGCTCATTTTATGAGGTCAGCGTTACCCCATCCTCACTTCTCAGTGCCTTCGTTTCTCTGCCTGGAGGCCAAGGACTGGCTGGACTCAAGCTTGCTCATCTCCCATCTCTCGGGACCAGGTGGAGGAGCAGCTGTGGGCTGCATCCTTGGCTGCCAGGAGGGAGGGTGCTGGGTGCTGGGTGCCGAGGACCTACCTTCTGCAGCTGCTGATGGCAATGCAGGTGCCTGGGTGGGGCCCGGCCAGCACTGGAGTCTGGGTTAGGGGATTTCCACACACTTCTACGTTGCTTTAATTTCTAACAAGAATGTGTTGAAGTCTTTGTCTTGTGTTTTTAGAAGACAAATTCCCTCCTTCCCTAGTCAAATGTGTAACGCCCCGCAACAGATAAAGCACTGCCTCCCTCCCCACCTAGTTGCATTTGTCAGTATTGGGTCTGCTTTCACTTCCCCTAACTCGTTGGTGTTCAGACGCCCTGCTTAGATGAGCTCTGAGCCGAACTAGCCCCCAGCTGCCCAGAAACAAGAAGTTTGACAACAGGCATCCAGTTTCAGCGTTACTTTTTCTAAAAGAAACTTTTCTGGGCAGAGTTGTCTTTTGGGGGCTGGGGTAGGGAGAGAGGAGGCGTGGGGGAAATGAGAGGAATCGTGGGGCATGGGAATCATGGAACCCTGCAGCAAGGCCTCAAGAGAACCAGGGAGGCCCACCCACGCCAGTCCAGCTGCATGGCTTTTGCAAGGAAATAAGAACATGACATGAGTCAACGTGGCTCCAAGTTTCCCCAGCAGCTAATCTGCTATGATTTAAGAAATCTGATTTCCCCGGTATTTGTTTATGTGTAATCTTGTTCTGTCATACACCTGTGGAATGAGTCTGGGAAGACAGTCTACCAGGGTAGACGCTGACCTAGGGATCAAGGACAGGAGGTTAGGACCGACCTGCGGCTGAGCTGGCTGCCTCCACCCGCCGTCTGCCACCACCAGCCCCACGGGGTCGTGGAGCTGGCCCAGGGTCAACCTTGAGCAGACGTTTACCGCCTTTGTGCCTCCCTGGAGCTCTGAGGAGAAAGTCTACCAATTGGTTGACCTCTCCTGGGTGACACCCAAAGGGTAAAAGTGAAATCGCTGAACAGCGTGATGTGGCTGTACCAACACGAAGTCCCCCTGTGCCCAATCTCTAAGGCAGTCCTCAGCCCCGGGGAGGAGGAGCAGGGCCAGCTCAGTCTCCACAGCAGACAGGTCACTGTTCGTGCAAAGGGAAGAGTGCAGAAAAGTTGATTTCACTCAAATGGATCCAGGTTGCCTCGTGGTGAGGGGGCAGAATGTATGGGGGCAGGAAGTGAACCCCATGTTTGCCCCTGCCTCTCTCTGCTCAGGTGGTCGTGAGAGGGAAAGAAGGAAAGCCAGGCATTTCAGATCTGGCCGGGCACAGTACTCAGCCTGGACTGGACACAGGGCTGAGAAGAGCTGAAATGCTCAGCCTTATGAGGTGGGGAAGATGTTCCTCAAATTGCTGGAAAGCAGCCAAAGACGAGAGAAAACTCCCCACTCCTGCAACCCGAGGGAAGTGCCAAGTTTGACCAGAGAAGCCTGGTGTGCCATTCTAAGTTTTCTTGAACTCATGGGCACTTTACAAATGCAGCCAGGGTGATTAGAAAAAAACTGAGCTTCAACTCGTCCCTGAAATCGGGGCGACAGGCTTCCCACGGGATGGGGAAAGGGTTTAGAACTGACATTACCTAGACCTCAAAGGACCATGGGATGCTAGCTACCAAGTGCATCACATTTATGTTTGTACAGAATTTTTTTCACACATAGCCGGCCTTCATTCTGTAAAGGGTTTGAAGCAACTTACAAGAACACACCGTATCAGCATAAAGTTGGAAGAAAAAGAAACGGGAGCAAAGCGCAAACAAAATAAACAAAACTGGAGGACTAGAAATCCAGGTAGGACAGTGGATCCAAGACAGGCAGATGAGAGCCAGGGCATCTGCAGAATCCAGGGCCCCGCTCAGAGCAGTGGGCCAAAGCAGGCGAGGTCTGGGGAACCAGAAGCAAAGCAGGATGTTTCCAAAGTATATTCCACTGAATCCTGCTTATTCTGGCTCATTATAGATGTGCTAGAAATTTGCACAAATCTGTTTGCCAAGTATAGAGGGCCAGAGATATCTACCCTTCTGCCCACTTCTGCTCGCTCTTTCCTCCAAAGAAGCGAACGTCCATCTGGCTGGGACAGATTCCAGATTTTGGGATATTGATGAGGACATCTTCCCAGTGGATGGGGTCTGCGTGCCTACCAGGTGCTGCGCACACCTGGGACTGCCTGTCACCACCCACTGCCTGTCCTTTGTCTCTCCCTCTCTCACGTTGTGGGGCAAATGGGCTGTGAAGCTGAGCCTTTGTTGGGCATGGCCGTCCTCTTCATGGGGCACAGTAGCCCGGATAAGGCCTGGCACAGACTACAAGAGCCCGCTGTGGTGTCTCCTCTCTCTCTCCTCTTCCTGCCCTTAAGCAGCAGGCAGACCCAGGCCACCACTCAGCGGGACGATGACATAAGTGTGCCAGCTTCTTTTGCTTGGAAGCACAAGGTCTTTGGCATTCCTCAGGGGAAGTCCCGTCAAGTTTACAAGAAAGCCCTACTTTGCAATATCATGCATTAGTCCAGATAACAATAGGCTGGAATTTAAGTTGTATCTTCCCCCTGTCTTGTTTTTCTCTACGTTCACTAGAGAACCAATCTCCCCGAGATAACAGATCCTGGACCAAGACCATCTATGCCCATCAGATAGTCGCTGGTTCCTAACACAGGGGTAGAGTTGTTTTCTTTTCCTTCCCTATGACCTGTGGGGTAAGAAGATTCTGGCCTCCATCCTGTCTCTGTTTTCTCATCCAGATTTAGGCCAAGGAGGTGGGAATGTCTGAAGGCCAGTCAATGCTTTCTTTCAACCTGAAAAATTCCTCTCCATTTTGCTAAGTGTGCTAAGATCTGGCACTTGGAATCTGGGAGTGAAATGTAGAGTCCTAATCACAATCCAGTGCTAGAAGTTAATGTGTTACTTTGCCCCTATTTGCCAAAGTCTACCAAACTCCCATCTTTGAACACCAATGGGATGTCCACTACGTTTACATCCAGGTAGGTCAGATAACCAAACTCAGTTTGAGCATATTTCCGTGAAGATTCATTGCCCACAGTTCATTCTCTGGTACCAACTTTTAGTCAGTTGAAGTTTTGGGGTTTGAGTGATCAAAACTGACACTGGCTAACTCAGGCAGAAAAATCAATTTCTTAGACATATATTGGGTAACTCTCAGAATTTACAGGATGGCCAAAGACTGGGATAAGAAAATAAGCAGTCTGGGCAGTTAAGATCCCCAGCCTAGGTCATTCCATGGACCCCAGGTCATTCCATGGACCTCAGGTACAATGTGGCCATTGATTTGGCAAATGTGTTCTTTCCATTCTGGTTGGAAAGGAGGATCAGAAAGAGTTTTAGTTCCTGCATGACAGATAGGAACATTCATTTACAGTCTTGTCTTGGGGTTATATTAACTTACCTGCCCTTTGTCATAATATAATCTGAAGAGATCTGGATCACCTGGACATCCCATAGAACATCACACTGATCAATTACATTGGTGACATCATGGTGATTGGACAGGATGAACAAGAGTTGACCAGCACACCGGCTAAAGAGGAATAAATTATTGACCCTCAATAACAGAGGTGAATCTCAAGAGCATTATGACGACCCCAAGAAGCCACACATCAAAATGCACCTACTGCGTGTTTTCATTTATGTAAAACTTTGATACCAGTAAAAAGAATCCGTAGTAATAGGAGGTACATCATGCTTGCCTGATGCTGGGGTTGGGGAGGAGGCTATCTGCAAAGAGTATGAGGGAACTTTCTAGAATGATGGAAATGATCTATATCTTAACTGTAATTAGGATTACATTTGTTAAAACTCATCAAGTTAAATGTACACTTTAAGACGAATGCATTTTATACCTCAGTAAAATTGAGCTAAAAAGGAATTATACCTAATTTTAGTAAATTCTCAGTACACGTGTCATTGAATTAAACAGTGGAGGTTTTCCCATTATTACTGTATTCTCAAGCATGCGTGGCTGAGATAGAAACATCTTTTATCTTTATTCACATCTTTTTCTAGTTTAATCATTTCTGTCCGATGTGGCATTATGTTTCTACTCCTGCTTTTTTTTTTTTTTTTTTTTTTTTTTTTTTTGGTGGCTTTGCCTAATCTATCTCTGGGCAGGTCTAAGGGAGGAGATTCTTGGTTCCAGGCTGGGATGTCCAGTGTCCATGAGGGGGTCTTCCAGGGTAAGTGGAGGGCTTCAGGTAAATGAAGTGTGACAATTGTACAACATGATCTGAATCCCTCTCGCTGCCCACGTCCCTGCACCGCACAGTGCTGTGTGCTACTGAGCACCACAGAACCCTCCCCTTGGCTGTGAGCATCACGTTGTGTCCTGGGCCTCCCTCCATTACCATGGGATTCCTGAGGCTCCTATGCTTCTGTCATTCTTACAGTGGTGACCTTCCCACACCAGGGCTGAGCCTGTTGCTCTAGAAAATGCTCGGGGGTGCTGGTGCCTCCATAGCAAGCATGGAAGGGCTCTCACACGAGCACGTGGGCCTTGGCTTCAAGGCTTCTTAGACCCCAGAACCCTTTCTCCCATCTTTTTTTTTTCCTAAGGAAAAAGCATGGGTGTCCTGGTAAGGGGAGCTCATGGGTAGAACACACTTGAGAATTATTGATTTAAATAATGTTAAACAGATTTCTGTGTTCTCACAGACCTTCCATGCCAATGTACGTAAGGAATCTATAAAGGGTGTGTGGAGGGGATATCCTGCCTTCCCTGACGTGGCTGTTCTCGAGTGTTCTCCTGGCCCCAGCTCTGCCTTAGACCTGACTTCCTCACATCCACGGCTCCCAAATGCCTGCCTGGCCCCTGATCACTTTCCTGCCCAGAGATCTGCCTACCTCTATGTGATTTCAGATTATATTCAGGTTCCCTTTTATCTCAACTTTCTTAGGAAATAATTTTATCCTGACAAATTACAGGCATTTCTGAGTCATCTCCTCTCCCCTCTGGTTTTTGTTTGTTTCTTTAAAGTTTGATGATTTCTAGTAAATTTATTCAGTTGTATAACCATCACCCCACTTCAGTGTGGGAACATTTTAATGCCCCCAAAAGTACAGAAGTAAAACAAGTCCTGGGGAAATAGAAGTGGGTAGGGAAGCACATAGATGGTAGATTCCCAGTTCCCTCCCGTGGCCCCTGGGGCTGGACCGCTCTGCCTCCTCCCCTCTGCACACCCCTCCCCAGGCTGGTCCAGAAGGCACCACCCCCAATTCCCCCAAATGCCCGGGGAACCTCACAAGTGTCTGGACGGAGATGGAGGGAAGCAGCAGGCACTGTCTTCAGCTTCCTGCACGATCTGCTCCAAATACTTTCACTTTTCTTTTCTCCGGAAGCCTGGCCCTCTCTGCATGTGGCAAAGCACAGACTTCCTGTTTCACCCACTGCCATCTCCCTGCTGTTCTCTCAGTCTTCCAGGAGGGATCCCTGGCCCAGCCCCTGGACCGGGAAAGGGGCAGGAGCAGGTGGCTGACCCAGCATCCAGGTGGGTTTTTGTCTCAGCTGCTTTATTCTTTCTTTCGGTGATTGGGCTCTGATAGCTAATTTCCTGGCAGCAGCTACAGGGTGGAACCCAACTATTGAAACTGTGAGGCTCTCTCTTCGTAAAATATTGTCTTCCAAAGATAGAGAGCAATGTGGGATTTAACCAGAGACTCCGAAAAAGGGGGACAGACGTGGGAGTGGTGGGGGAGCAGAGACACAGCTCAATTCTTCTTTCCCTAAATTCTAGCCTGTTGTTGTGGATGGAACCAAGATTTGCTCTCTACTCTTCTCTTCTGTGCTTTGTGATTTGCACTCCGCCCCAAATGGGCAACTCATTTATTATCCATTGTGCGAGTGACTAGAGGTAATTGGTGGGAAAGAGACAATAAGGAGAGAACATTTAATTTCCTCTCCAGTGTTTCATGAACTTTATATATATATATATTTTGAAGCACATTTATGATTGCTTCCTTGAAATAAATTCCTGGAAGTGGAATTTGGGACTCAAGGGAATATATACTTCAGAGTGTCTGACACTGATTGCTAAATTAGCCTCCAGAACATTTGGACCTTTTTACATTTTCACCAGGAGCATCTGTGATTATTGCTTTTATTCTTTATGTGGAACATTTTGATAGACAAACATTATTAAGTTGTCTTCTTTTGTACTGCCCCAACTACTAGTGAACTGCCATGTTTTTTATATATTTATTGCACACTTGACTTAATTGCCTATTTGTGTTTTGCTTTTTTTTCTATGTGAATGTCTTTTGTTTATTCGTTTTTAAGACTCCTTTACATGATAAAAATCTGAACGCTAGCACATGAGACCCAATATCATGCACTAGTAAAAAATGGGGCTTTAGTCAGACAAGCTCTGCTTTGCCAACCTTGCGCTAGTTACTTAACCTCTCTGTGCCTTGCTTTCATTCTTGAGAATTACAACAGATGAAGGATAAGGAACCTGGTGGATATTATGTTCGGAATGCTGTAGTATGATTAATCATCCTAAATGTAGCCCCACGGCCACTTGCTCTTCTTACCACCTCTTCATTCTGGCTTTCTCTGGCTCTGTGCTGATCTTTGCAGTATTCTTCCCCGTATGATGGATTCTGTCTACATCATGGATGCTAGATTTCCCTTCCACCTGTTCTCAGTCTCCCAGGATTTCTTCACAATTATAGACCTCTTATGGCATCTTTTCTTTTCCAGCACTACTATGGATTATTCTATTTTTACAATATGTTTCTTTTTTTCTGTCAAACTTAAAGGATGTGGGAATGAGTAGAGAGAGTAGGGCTGCTCATTCTACCACTGGGATTAATCCTGGAAACAGTCACTACTTACAGTTTAATTTTCAGTCATACACAAAATGAAATTGGAAAGATGGGATCTCTGTTTCGTTGTAAAAAATATCTCTGGATGGTTGAACTTTTTGTTAGTACTCTTTTCTTGACAATTTGTCAGGAATATTATCTGTATGTTTTCTGCCTATTATAACATGGATATTTTCTCCTGGTCTATCAGTGGTTAATTTTTATAAATGTTGCGTGGGCATGGGAAAGGTGCATGTCTGTTCTGAGGTATGAAATTGATACATATAATAAATTAGTTACGTTGCCTTTACTAATCATTTCTTTCACATCTTTCATGTCTGCTTATGTTTGGCCTGCTTGTGTGTCAAAGATTGTAGGTGGTTTACTGAATTTTCTAAATATTATCAGGTTTTCATCTTTCTACTCATTATTGGGTGGTCCCTTTTTACAAGCACTGCTAGTGTTTGTGTTGAGCTGCCGCCCAGGCAATCTTAACTCCGTCCAACATTCACAATATAATGGGTACAATCATAGTAACCATCTTGCAAGCGTTTTGTGAAGATCAAATAAGTTGTTGCATGTGAAACCCTTAGAACAAAGCCCGGCACGTAGGAAGTACTCAATAGGTACTAGCTATTTTGAATATCTGTCTTATGTTTACCAGCAGCCCCTTTGGGATTTCAGCATCATCTTTTAGGTTACTTTCTGCCTCCGTGGTCACTGGGCATTGTCATTGCCTCTTATGCCCATGAGGCTTTGAGGCAGGAGTTGCTTTGCAGACTACCAAGGGCTACTACCTTTGGTACCAGGATGCCGGTCTGAAGATGCCCACTGAGCACAAAGAGCAGCTCCCCAAGTTCCCAGAGTCTTTCCTCTCCTCTCATGCCTCTTTCATAGGATGTTCACCATGACCAGCGCCTTAGAAGAGGCTCTTCTCCAGCACTTCGTATACCAGAAGCTGGAGATTGCCTATGCCATATACAAGCCATTTCCCTTCCTCGAAGGCCTCCGAGACAGCTCCTTCATCACGGAGACAATATACCGGGTGAGTTGCGCTGCCCACTTTCCCATGGCAGCCCAGCCCCCGCCAAGAAGTCCCCATTACTGAGGTTTCAAACCCCAAGGCCCAGGGCTTCTGGAGCTCGGATGGCCTAGTCCCAAAGGCTCACTATCAGGGGAAGGTGGGGTCCCAGGGGCTGCCATAAAAATGACCTCAACCCCGGTGGCTTAAAACAAGAGAAATGCATTGTCTCACAGTTTTGAAAGCCAGAAGTACAAAATCAAGGTATTGGCAGGGTTGGTTCCTTCTCGAGGCTTTGAGGGAGAATCCATTCCCTGACTCTCCTAACTTCTGGTGGTACCAGCAACACTTTGTGTTCCTGGGCTTGTAGAAAAATCACTTACAATCACTGTTTCAATCTCCACATCACCTTTTCCTTTCCTTGTCTTTTCTCCTTCTCTTCTTTTATAAGGACACTGGTCATTGGGATTTAGAGCCCACCTTAATCCAGGGTAATGTCATCTCAAGAGCCCAACTTAATTACATCTGCAAATGTAATTTTTCCAATGTCCCCTTTTTCCAAATGAGGTCACATTCACAGGGTTCAAGTGGACATATCTTTTTGGAGCGGTGACACCATTCAACCCACTAAGGGTACACTCCCAATTCCCAAGAATTTGTTGGGCATAGTCCATTCAGATGTGAAGCAAGGCAGGCACTGGAAGATACAGCTGTGTGGACAAAAATGGCATTCTTTTATAATTTTGGGGTTTTTTTAATGCATTTCCTGAGTCCCAGGCCCAGGGAAGTGCAGCGGTGGTTGAACGATCTTCTCCCAGTCTCGGCCTGGTTGGCTCCAACCGCTCTTCACGTCACAGCCCAGATGTCACTACTCAGAGAGGCTTCCTTAACCCACTCATCTAACCGATTTCTCAGAGAAACTTATGCTTTCCTTTCATAACACTTCTCTCAGTAGCAACTGAGCATTTCTTTAATTTGTTTATTATTTAATGCCCATCTTCTGCACCCGACAGAGTCCCTCCCCCAGTATGGGTAACACCATGGCGATCTTATCCATTGCTGTGTACGCAAGGACTAGCCTAGTAGGTGCTCAGTAAGTGTTATGCAGTCAATTCTCTCTTGCCATGTTTCTCCTTCTGGCCAGCCTTTCATGAAGAGGAGTTTGCTGGATGATTTCCCTGTGGCTAGAACCCATTCAGGCCATCCCAAGTCCGAGAGAGAAAGAGCAGAGCCTAACAAGCAATTGCAGAATTGCCACTTGTGACCCACTCCTTGGTCCATTGCCACAGAGTTCTGCTCAGAGCCTTAGAGAAATTAATTACACAGTAAAAACCTGTGACTCCCCTTTTCCTTCCCTAAAATTTCTCTCTTCCTTCAAATGTACCTAAAATAAGGTTCACAAAGCAGACTTATTTTAAAGAAGGCTGTTATTTATTCCTATGACTAACAATCCAAATATATGCGAAGTTCTAAAAATAAACATGCGGAACTGTGACTTTTCTACGTTAGAGTTTGACTGTACATTTGTGTTAAATTCCTTCTTAACAGAACAAAATACCATTCCTACGACTTAGAAAACCACAAATGTATAATAAACTTCCATTCCATTTTATAATCATTTATAATAATCCTCGATTCCATTTTTTAAGGAATCCATGGAAGCCTGTAGAAACCAGGTCCCTGTACCCAGAGTGGTGTACAACATCCTCACCCACCTGGAAAAGACCTCCAATCTGTCATTTCTGGAGATGCTGTTCAGCCGAATTAACCTGCGTGAATACCCCAACCTGATGATGATTCTCAAGGGCTTCAGAAGTGGTACGAGGCTTCTTGAATATCCTTGGGCTATAAAAGCATGCCAGAAGCTGCTACCCTCAAAGTTTGGGTTGGCTTTCAGCCCCGTGGAATTAGGCACTTGAGTGCTGGGTTCTCTGGGGAGATGGGGAGCGTATTCTCTCACTGGTGTGCCAGGACGAGCAGCCTCTGGCCCCAGCTCTCTAAGATGAATTTCTAGAGGACACATTTCTGTCTCATCTGTTCTATGAAGTGGGGGGAAAGTTGTCCAGTATACCTCACTGGGCAGTCTCTAGGGAAATGCAGTTGCAGAGACTCAGTCTGACAGAAGGATGAGGAGAACCAGAGGGGAAGAGAAATGAATATGGATGGACAGTAAGTATCTTTTTTTTTTTTTAGTACTTACTATGTACCAGGCATCTTCCCAAGCACTTTATATGATTATCTCATATCATCTTTAAAACAATCCTGTGAAGTCGCTATTATCCCCATCTGACATATGAAGAAATTAAAGCTCAGAATAACTTTCCCAAAGTTACTTGTCTGCTAAGAGCAGAGCCAGCTGTCCTACTTGGGTTTCCTAGCACCGGGGCCTGAGATTTCAATCCCTCTTTTAAACAAGGACAGGTGGAAGGCAGAGTGTGAGGCTGGAGGAGAGAGGAGAAGGAGCTGAAGACAGAGAGAGGGTAGAAGAAGGAAGCAGAATGTGACGCACACTGGGAAGGAGTACGAGCTGGATAAATAAAAAGCAGGAGAAAGAGCAAGGACAGAGCTGGGAAGGAAGAAGCCAGGGCAAGAGAAAGAGGTGACACACGATCCATTTTAGGTTCAAGGACAAACACTTTGGCCAAAGCGCATGGTTCACTTAGCTGAGAACAACAGAAAGACGACCAGCAGATCACACTGCATCGTGCCATTTTGTTAGTGGGGCAACCACTGTGGACAGCAAGAAGTTCTTCCCCCAAAGGAGAAACGCCTCCTTGAGCTAAAGAGGCAGGGAAAGAGAAAGGCGCCCCTCCCGGCTGGCACTGGTGCACTTGAGCCCGTGCTCCTGGCAGCATCAGGGCGGCACGGGGAGGACTGGGTTCTCAGAAGCCACGCTAAGTCAGTCTGAGAGCCAGAGGCACCACACACCGCAGCGCCCCCCAACCTAGCCGAGCTCATACGTCTTTCTGGATCTGCAAATCTGTGCTTTTGTTCCAGGCCCTTCTCCAAAATCCCACCTTAATTCCTTTTTCTGTTCACTGGTTGAGACAACTCAACTCCTGAAATAAATGATGGAGAAGAATCATAAGGGAAACCTGGCCACGGAAGGAATCACGTGCAGAAAGCCAAGGGCCTGGAGTATCGAGGACGGGGAGGGAGATTGGTGTGGCTCATCGTAGGGTGTGAGGCAGGGAAACACAGAAGCTAGTTCTGAAGAAAGGAGCAGAAACCAGAGTAGAAAGGATGCACCATGTGAAGGAATTTACATTTTATCTTATTTGCTACAGGGGATGTGATGTGTTTATTTATTAAAACAGGAACATGTATCAAAATTATAACGTCATAGAAAATTGTCTAAATTCTGAAACCAAAATTAAAGAAAGACTAAAGAAAATTAAATCCCTGAGTACAAAGTCAAACTCAGCTTTATGGGTGAAACAACTTTAGTATCAGACCAGAGGTCTAATGCCCAAATCAAACACCTAGAACAGAAAGGGGCCACAAACAGTTGATGCTGGCGATGAATCAGTTCTCCGCACTTGGAAGAAGGTGAATCGCTCCATGCCCCCAACCCTCCGGAAGTCTTGTACAAAGAAATTCCCTAATCATTCTGAGTAGCCAGGGTGTTGATGTGTGTTCCTTCACCAATCCCAGTTGTCAATTCCTACGGAGGATGGAACAGAGCTGCGCTGACCCTCCTCGAACCTCCAGCCAACCCAGGAGGAGGGCGCTCCCTCCCGACGCTGCTGCCGCTGCCCCCACCCCAGAGCCACCCACCCCATGCTCCCAGTGTCACTGAGCCCAGCGCATCCACACAGCACAGCACTGAGATCACGGGCGAACCATCCAGCCCTTCTGACCCTGCCGTGGCTCTCCCCAGAACCACCCAGGAAGGAAGGATCACTCCAGGTGAGGGGAAGACTTTGTCCGACACCTGTGCCTCCCTAGCCTAGGGTACTGTGGTCATGTCTAGAAGCCCAGGGTCCCACCTTTTTGTTAATCTGGTCCATCCCATGTGCCTACCTACCACACACAGCCTTCTCCAAGGACTATGGGCACTGCCAGGGCCTTGGGGAAAGCCTAGAGCCCAAACACCAGCTCCCCACCCCTGGAGCAGGCCAGCTCTTGCCCTGGGGCATTGGGGCTTCTGTCTTGGGTGTTTTTACTGTTTGCTTTCCTCCCTGACACTCTGTCTCTGTACCCTGTAATGATTTTTCTTCCTCTCTTCAATGCCCGATGACAACTTAACATCCCAAATAAATGGTGAAGAAGACTCACAAGAGATACCCAGCACTGCCCCCGACACTGTGCAAGGTAATATTGCTTGGGGCTGACTTAGTTTAGTTCAGAGCGGGTTTGAGAGACAAACATGCACCTGCCAACCCAGAGGCTTGTGACGGAAGCCTAAGGGAAAAGAACTGGGTGTGACAAAGAAAAAGAAACAGGGAGATTGATGCCCCAGCTCAGCACAGGACTACTTGTCAGGGATGTCTCCACAGCCAGTTTGATGCCATGATGTCCAACTAATAACAGTGTTCTGAACTGACACGTAACTTGTGCAATACATCCCTCTGTGACCCTTACTCGGTCGCTCACCCTCTGATTACAGGGTCCTTTCAATCATATTCATTTTTATGTGGTTTGGACTCTAAGAGTAATGTTATTGAAATTAATAAAAAAGATGATAAAACATCGAAGGATCTGCGGATTGCAAGATCTGCTAAAACACTGAAAGATTTAGCTTCCAAAATTGTGTTTCTTATCGCTCCCAACCATCATTATTAAGGACTTTGATTACATTACATATAACCATGGAGTATTATCGGGCTCTGTCAAAAATGGTATCGTGGATTCTCCAAAACTGAGCATAAAGGGCCCCGTTTGGTCCAAATGTTTCCTTCACTCCTCTAAGACACACCATCCAAATAACATAATCATGAAGCCAGTAACAATGGAAGATTCCATCTTCTAGGTTACCAAAAGAAAGAAAGAAATTGTGAAGTTAGTAAGTAATGAATCACTGTATCCTACACCTGAAAGTAATATAATGCTGTATGTTAACTACATTAGAATTAAAATTTAAAAAATAATAATAAAGTAGAAAAAAATTAGTAAGTAGCTAGTTGAAAGGAAACGATGGCTGACTCTCCCCCTCTATGCCACCCGTGCCGGGCCTTGGTGTTCAGTTGGCCCCACTGTTTTTACTGGCTGGAATAGATTGGTGTTGTTCCTCCCCCTCTGGTCCCTGTTCGTTGGTCCTGGGCCCTGAAATTCCTCTTCTTCCTCTGCTCAGTGTCCGGTAACAACCTGAGATAAGAGATAACAAAACGCTCAAGAGATGTCCCACCGGGCCCCATGCCAGCTAATTTTCACGTAGACAAGTTTAGCTTGCCTCACTTTCCATATCTACCAAGAGGAGAGCCCGTTCGGATCTTCTTGAGACAGGGCTCTCCTCGCCACCCTGGACCACCATCTTCGTGCTGCAAACATCACTAGAAGGTCTGCTAAGGCTGGTGGCAGGAACCCTGGGGAAAGGACAGGGGACTAAGTCAGAGCAGAACTGTGTAACTCACCCATGCTCTGAGGTCCCTGCAACAAGGTAAAGCTCAAAACTGCTCCATCCAAATGCGAAGCAAACAAAAACACTGTGGGGCCCAGGTGTGGATGGTTCTTTTTCCCAGCCCCCACCCTGACTGTGGGGAAGTTTCATCTTCAAGCCTAGTCATTTCTATATCGTTTCGATTTTTAAGAGTTGATAGGATTAAAATAATTTGAAATGCAACAAATTATTTAAAATGCCGCAGGACTGCTTGACCTCTGCCTCAATGACCTATTCTTAAGCAGGCCAAAATTTGAGATTGATCTCATAGTACCATGTAAACAAGGGGAAGGTGGCAGTCTTACTTGAGATTTATTATGGCTTCCAGCCGCTTCTGTCTTCCTCGTGCAGCAAAAACTAGAACTTTGTATTTATTTGCTATTAACACGTGCTAGCCAAGTCGAGGCTAGCTCCCGCTTTCTTGGTCCTTGTACATAGAAATATATAAGGCACTTAGCTTCCTTCACCATTTTTCAAGGTGAAATAATGACAAAGAGAGCGGTTCAAAAATATCCGTTCACAGACCTCTAAGCAATAACGTGTATTTTTCCTATGGCGAAGACATTCCCCTTCATTGAAGCCACCAGAAGTCAAGGTCAGCACTCACCCTACTCGCAGCCTCATTCCTTGCGTGAGGGTGGCTGAGAGCTGGTGTTCCTCCCTTCTACTGCATAAGGGGAGCCTCTCGAAACGGGTCAAACTGAGCCCTCCTCTGTGGGGCAATTGTTCCCTGCTTCACGGGGATGACCACACAGGTAATTCTAACCACCGGCTGATCAAATCAAGGCAGAGGCAGGGAGCCTGAGGGCTGGTAGAACCCCCCACCCACCCCAGGTGACACGCGCTCTGCACCCTCCTGCTCTGCCCTCAGCTCCCTTAGGACTTTTCCTTCAGCCTATTCCAAGCTCTGAACCGATTTCTCTTTCCTCTGTTAGTGATAACAGATGACTCTCCTGAACCAAATGACCCCAAAGAGCTCCAGGAGGCATCCAGCACACCTCCCAACAAGAAAGGTAAGGAAAGGTTGCCTTTCTCCTGTAGATGTCGGGAGCATGAATTTGGGGGTGCTTTCGGCTTTTTGGATCCTGTGTGGTCAGAAGCACCCACCATGTGATTGTTCTCATGATGCTCATTAACAGCTTGTTTCTCCCATTCACTGCATCTTCCTTGAAAGCCTTCATGAAGATTGTAGGGAAGCCAGAAGGCATTGAAGGCCACTGAAATATGTACCCAGTACAATCACCTGCTCTGAAATCATCAAAGTCTCCTTTACCCACAACTTCTTAGAGGGTTAGTTGTACCTCCCTCTTTAACTGAAATGGGTTCCCACAAGAGGACCCACTGCTTTCTTTTTTAAAACAGGAATGCATACTCTCCACGCTCACTCATTGTGGAAGGCAGGGTGGGTGCCCACTGCTTGCTATCCCCCGTCCCTGGCCAACTCCTTCCTCCTCCATCCTCTATTTTGAGGCTTGACCATTCAAATGAACTGTTCCGTTGCTCTTCATCACTATCATCCTTGATTTGCCCCCAATTCCTCAGCACACCTCAAAGGCTGACTTAGAATTTTTCTGTCAGTTCAAGTCCTGCCACCATCCTGGACACCTTCCAAGGTACACAGGGATAAGAGGCCCCTCGGATCCTTCCGTGGCTCTTTTCCAGTGATATTTTTCTGCACTGATTCTTGGCCTCCTGCACCCAAAGGCAACCGATCGGCCTTCTCATCACTGACGCCTGGCTCGACCTCCCAATAATTAATTTCAGAATCCTCTTTTTTGACATCTAATCCTTGAAGTCTGCTCCTTCTACAGCCATTGTTCACTTGAACAATTCTTAAAACTTAAAATTCTTAAAAATTCTGAACGTTCTTAAAAAATTAATCCAAGGGGCGCCTGGGTGGCTCAGTCAGTTAAGCCTCCAACTCTTGATTTTGACTCAGGGCATGATCTTAGGGTTGTGGTATCAAGGCCTGTGTCAGGCTCCACACTCAGTGCAGAGTCCGCTCGTCCCTCTCTCTCTGGTCCTCCCCCAGCTCACACATGTGTGTTCTCCCTCTCAAATAAATAAATAAAATCTTTTTAAAAAAATTAATTTGAAAGTTTCCCTGCCTGATTTCTTCCTTACAATTTGTTCCTCCTGGAGCTTTCCTTCAATGTCACTTGGATGACCAGTCCACTGGCCCTTCTCTTTTCTGGTTCATCTTTTGCCTCTCTTCACGCCCCTTCATACCAGATTAGAGTGCACAGACCAAGGCTTCAGTAAACCTCTTTGCTGATATCTTAATCTGCCTTGCCTCTCTCAGTCTTTTCCTAGAACCCTCTGGCAGGTCTTGGAGGGACCCATTATCTGCTTTCTGCACACTGTGTCTGAAGGCAGACACCTCTGGGGAGAGCCACACAGCTGGGCAGAGCACAGGACCTGTGTCTTCATGAGTCCGGCATAAATGAGCCTCCCACTCTGCATGACAATTCCACTTCTTGCAATGATCCTTCCCAATCCCGAGCTTTTTCTTCAAGCTGCCGACCCCCTCGCCACTTCCTTTTTCTTTAACAGATTACTTTTCCTCCTACTTCATAGAAAGGCACCAGATAGGAATCTCCTCAGTTCCTGCCACCAACCAGCAAACTCTAACTGCATCTGTCCCCTCCTCTCTTGTTCCCTCTTTCTCTCTACAGCAATCCTTCCATCGCACCTGATGGGGTCCATGATCCCTTCTTTCTCCTGAGAATTCAGCATCTCCCTGTCACAGGACCTGCATCCAGCCACTGCCCAAGTTTATCATAGCTCATAAAAAGAGCTTCCTCTTGATCCTCAGCTCACCTCACCTGTTTCCATAGCTCTCTCCTCCATTTCACAACCAAACTGCTAGAAATGATTTAGCTAAACTCATTGTCCCCATCTCTTCACGTCACTCTTTTTCTCCCTCATTACTCCAGGAAGCAGCATCAAGTAAGGTCACCAATGACCTCCTCACCACTATGGTTTGAAGACCGAAAGTTAAAGCTGAGACCTGTTGACACGTAAAGTTGGCAGGTCTATGTTTGTGGCCATGGGAAAATGATCTGTACCCTTTCTGTTTAGGAAAGAAAAGAAAAAGAAGTATCTGGTCAACTCCAAAAAAGAGACACCAGAAAAAAAGGCTCCCAAAAGGTAAGATGAGAGAAACAAGAAGAGGTCAGAGGCTGCAGACAGCTCATGCTCGTGGGTCAAGGTGTGGGAAGTTGAATTTTATTCTAATGAAATGAGGAGACATTGAAGAGATCTAATCAATGAAGTGACAGGATCCCATTTTACGTTTGACAAGAACAATTTTGGGGTTGTGTAAAGCATGAATTGGAAACAGAAAAGAATGGAAGCAGGGCTACCATTTGCGGGGGCAGATGTCATGCAAGTCATTAGAACTCTGCATTCAGGTCTGGCAGTGGAGATGGAGAGAGGAGAGCCAGTTCAAGACCAACTTGGAGGCAGAGGAGATAGACCTTAATAAATTGGAAGCTGGGGAAGAGAGAGACAGCAAGGCTTGCTCTTCAGTACCTGGCTTGAACGGCCGGGTGAATGTGTTGCTTAGAGAAGATGCAAATAATGGGGGTGAAATTTTAGAATTTTCAATTTTTGACCTGCCAATTTCAAGATTTGTGCTAGCTGTCTATGCCTTTGTGCCATGCCAGGTAAGTGCTTTGTCAAAAACTGTGAAGGGTCTGAGAGGGTACCCTACTGGAATAGGCACATTCTTTACGTGTATGACCACTGCAGGAACCCAGGCGCCGGGATCAGGGGAAAGAATTCCTTGTTGATATTCACAACCAGCTCCACAGCCAGAGTAACATTGCAGCATCTACCTCCCACATGCAGACCCATAGGCGACAAGAAGAGAGCCGATGGAATCTTTCTGAGAGGCAGATGATATCCCAGAGACAAGGGACAGAGAATGACGGGTTTTCTGTTTACAGACAGGACAAGGACAGTCATCCTTTTGCCCTCCTGAAAGGAGAAGGAAAAAAAAAAAAACAAAACAAACAAACATTGCTGCTTTGAGATTAGATTGAAACAATCCCGAGTCCTCACCCTAATCTTTTGGAATTTAAATGCCTCTTTCCAAGAGGCCGGGAAAGCCCAGGTGCCTCCAGCTTTTACTCAGGATGTCTCCAAGTTCTGGGCTTCACTCCTTTTGATGTGTAAATACCTATGGAGGGAGGGCTTCAGTAATCCTGCGTCTTTGGGACTTAACCTAGGAAGCTAGCCCTGCTGTAGGCATTTGGCAATCTCAGGAGATGAGAAGTTTTATTATCTTTTTGGATCAGACAGCAATTTACTAGATACAGATCTCATTCTCATCGTATGTGAAAAGCGAAATATTTCCAGAGAAGTGAAAGTAAGCATTCCCTATCTTTATTCTGTATTTATTTCCATGTCTCTGGAGGCTAGGGCTTTTTACAGAAGCACTGAGAAATCAAGGGAGTTTAATTTCCCCCACAATATGCCACTCTGGCACTCAATAAAAAAATCAGATCCAAAGATATAAATATAAGTCCTTGGCAAAATGAAGGCATCCAGGACCGCGGGAAAGAGAACCCTAACCTTGACAACCCCTTGCAAATCCTCTCTGTTCCAGACTTTCACTCTATCACAAGGCCCCTCAATTCTTTGATACCTTGCACTCTCTCCACTAGAGGAACCTAGGGACCCTTAGATCCCTCCTGATCCACACCTAGGCCCTCAGGAACCTCCTCCGGTGCCAAAACGGACCACTTAGCCATTTTCACTCGGATGTGGCCACCTCCAGAATGAAGGTGTCATACAACAGGGCCCAGGAAAGAAATTCCACTGCTCTGGGAGTCTGGTTAATTTCAACAGGTTGTGCAGGGGTGAGAGCAGATGGTGAGTCTAAGGGAGAAAGAAAGGTGCACACAAGGAAAAATATATAATTACAGAGAAATAGCAGAAGAAAAACAAGGCACAGGAGCATAGAGATCTCAAAGTGTGGGGGCTGGGGACACGGGAGGGGGAGGAGGAGCTTTACTGGGCACCCCAGTGAAAACTCTTCACAGACTATTCACTATTTGACCCAGGGAGAACCTCACCTCGGCACAGAAGCCAAGAGAAGCTCCAAGTGGTGGATCAGGCAACTCAAAGGAAGGATGATTCACCCAGCAAGTCAAATGTCATGACAAGTGTCCAAAAGGCAAGCACCGAATGTGCCCAAACCTCTGGACCAGAGGGTAAGGCTGGTGACAGAATCTTCCATTTGAATGCTCAGTGTGGGAGGGTCTCTCACAGAGCAGGCACAGCACTAGAGGGATGTGTAAAGGTAATAGGAGAAGCGCCAAGAAAGTTGGTGAGCTGTGTGTGACAAGAGGGAACAAAGATGTGTTGCACCTGAGGAGATTTTGTGCAGAAATAGCTCTGTCCACACGGTACAGCTGACCTCAGCTGTGACCTTAGGCAGCAGCTCTCAAACTCTTTGGTCCCAAGACTTCTTTACACTCTTCAAAATTATGGAGGACCCTAAAGACCTTTTGTGTCTGTTGTTTATATTTATCTATGTGTACTTCATTAGGAATTAAAACCTATCGTTCAAAAATATTTATGTGTTAATTCCTTTAAAAGTAACAGTAATATACCAACTACCTGTTAACATAAATAACATATTTTTATGAAAAACAAATATATTTTCCAAATACAAAAATTGGTGAGAAGACTGGCACCATTTTACATTTTTATAAACCTCTTAATGTCTAGCGGAATCAGAGACAGCTGGATTCGTATAGCTGCCTCTGTGTTTGATTGATTGGGATACATTGCTTTGGTGGAAGGACAGGAAGATAATCCAGCTTCACGAGGATCCATAGTTTAAAAGGGTGGAGTATTTTAACAGTTTTTTTTATGTTTTTATGTTTTTAAATGTTTTTATGTTTTATGTTTTTGTGTTCATCTCTGATATTGCACCCAAAGTCAAGAAGGGATGGTTTCATAAAGGTTAGTTGAGATGTAGCATCTGAAACCACATCTTATACACCTCTGAAGCTAATAATACATTACATGATAATTAACTGAATTTAAACAAAATAAAATTAAAATTTTTTTTAAAACCTAACTTTTTATACTCTTGCAATACAATGCATTTATGCTGTCTTGCATTTTAAATGGATCTACTTATGCAGGATTTTATAACATCTTGGACATTTGGAAAATGTTGGTTCACTGAATTCTACAGTGAGCTGGCAGCGCAATCACACAAGTATTTTTCTCAAGACATTCATGCTTCAAGATGTAGTGAACTGTTTTATATGAACTCCTCGGTTTTCCACATAGACTATTAAAAAGATGTATTAAAAAGATGTATACTGGGCGCCTGGGGGGCTCAGTCCATTAAGCGTCTGCCTTCGCTCAGGTCACGATCCCAGGGTCCTGGGATGGAGCCCTGGATCAGGCTCCCTGCTCGGCAGGGAGCCTGCTTCTCCCTCTGCCTCTGCTGCTCCCCCTGCTTGTGCTCTCTCTCTCTCTCTCTCTCTAATAAATAAATAAAAATGTTTTAAAAAAAAAAAAGATGTATACTCAGGGGCGCCTGGGTGGCTCAGTTGGTTAAGCATCCGACTCTTGACTCTTGGTTGCAGCTCAGGTTGAGATCTTGAGGTCGTGTGATCCAGCTCCGCATCCACCTCTGTGCTCAGCGGGGAGTCTGCTTCAGATTCTCTCTCCCTCTCCTTCCCACTCACTCACTCTCTCAAATAAATAAATAAAATCCTTATACTCAAGGGTAGGAATTTAATAAATTTAATAAAGTTAAAGTTAATAATTTTATTTTTTTAAAGATTTTATTTATTTATTTGAGAGAGAGAGAGAGAGAGCCCATGAGAGGGGGGAGGGTCAGAGGGAGAAGCAGACTCCCTGCTGAGCAGGGAGCCGATGCGGGACTCGATCCCGGGACTCCAGGATCATGACCTGAGCCGAAGGCAGTCGCTTAACCAACTGAGCCACCCAGGCGCCCTAAAGTTAATAATTTTAATTGCTTCATTAAGAACATTTTTTTAAACATGCTTAAGTGAAACTGACTTTTTTATTTTTAATGGTCTGTGACAGGGAAGACTGCATAAGGTTTAGGGGCACTGCTTTGATTTGTACTAGGGCACCAGCAGCTTTACCTGCCATGACTTTTGCTCCATGTGAGCACATGTCAACATAGTGAAAAGGCGAAGAGCATCTTAGTATGGAGCCAATTTTGACCTCAAAGATCTCCTGAAAGGGTTTCTGGGATATCCCAGGGATTCACAACCTCACTTTGAGCCTCTGATCCAGGGACTCAGATGACTGCACCTCACTGGACATCTCCCTTGGTAGAGGATGCTCTGCTGCCCAGCCTTGCTCTGCTCTTCCCCACAGTGGCAGGTGGACTCGGTGGTAGAATCACTCTCAGGAAGGGTTATGGAGGTTCAAGCAAGACCTGGAACCTCCAGCCTTCACGGCAAAAGGTCTCTCCTGGGACTTCAGGAGACTCCTGTGGAGCTTTCCGGGGCATTTTCTGAGATCTGAAAGAAATGGCTTTCCTTTTTTCAGAAACCAGTGATGACTCTTCAGCAATGAATGAAGAAAAGAGGCCCCAGGAGCCATCCAGCACACCACCAAGCGTCCTGCGTGGTAAAGAGGAGGGACTGCAAAGTCTCAGCGGGCCGTCCCCAGGAGCCCAAATCAGACCTCTTTGATCCTAAACCAGTGTTCCTCAGCCCTTTTTCCATTGTCACTGCCCTAAGGGAGCCCTCTCAGATATTTTTTCCTAACCATGAACACAACCTATGATATTTTAATACCACAAATATATTATATATCCATTTATGTTTAGATAGATAATTATCTTGAGGAGGAATAAATATCTATCTATATACATCATACAGAAAAAGAATAAGATTTCCCACCCCAATCCCCAAACCAATTTTTTCTACCTTGGGGCAATACCACTGCTGCTGAAGGTGTTCTAAATACATTCATGGTGCTCTACTGAAAGTGCCAAAGTCATGGAACAAAATTTTTCCTAAGATCTGAATTTCCTTGTTTCTCACTCGACCTTTTTGGGCGAATTGAGAAGAGAACAATTCATCAGAAACACAAGTGTAGTACTGTAATCAACTGAGCAGTGGCAGCTGATCCCATTGTGGGCACGAGCTGACAGACAGTGAGGTGCATCCGCCCTCACCACCACTACCATTGTGCATTTGCTACCACTCTCCTCAGAAGGGAAAAAAATACGACCATTCTTCTGTTTGCTGGCGATGTGGTCGTTGCGTCACTAATTCACAGAATGCAACTCTCAAATGACAAGTATCTATTGTCAGAAAGAATGAGTTAAGTTTGACCACCTTGAAATACAAATGATCATTTTAACAGTTTCTCCCACATTGCACTAACTTATACAGTAATCTTGCAAATTTTCTCATGGATAATTTCATTGTATTTGTACAACAGTCTGGAGAAGGTTGAATAATGAATTCAAATTTTACTGATGAGGAGACTGAGGCATGTAAAGGATGAGTGGGTTTTTCCAAGATCCTGTGGGTAAAGGGCGGTGGCACAGGACAAGCACCTTGGTCCCCTAGAACTCTCTTCAGATCCCATCATCCCCCATTATAAATGAAGGGACAGAAATAATACTGTCAAAGCTTTGCCAACTCAATATTGTCTGAAATGCGGTGGTCACAAAGTTTAAAGCCTGCTTAAAATGACTTTCTTTCTCACTATTTTCTAGATCCAACAAATAATGGAAATAAACCATCTTTGGGAAAATCTCCTGGGGAAAAGCGTAAGTGTAAAGAACCTATTTGGTCTCTGTTAGGGTGGATTTGATGTTACTTTTTGTGGGTTGTTAAACCCTCTTCTACGCTACAAAAGACATCCTAGACCATAAAAAGATTTGTGCTTTTTGAAACAGTGATTTATTTATTTTTTTCAACCTAGAAAATTTTCCACACTACAAAAGCAATATTCAGCCGCCATTAGGATTAGCTTGCTGTGTGGGACAAGAACCGCCCTTCCCCTCAAAAACCAGTGGCTGAAATAAGAAAGCTTCTTTCTCTCTCCTATGTGGAGGTAGGCGGTTCAGGGCTGACGTCATGCACCTAGAATCTCAAACTCATTAGTCATTGCACCACCAACCTCAGAGTGTGGCCTCCCCTCACCGGGGTCCAGCCAGGGAGTTTACATTCCCACCAAAGGGAAGAGGCAAGGTCTAGGAGGGCATGTCTCCTCCACTGAAGGAGGTTGCCTTTAGACATTCTGTTACCATTTCTTTGCTTCGAGTGACCTGACTACACCTGACTGCAAAGGAGGCTGAGAAATGTCATTTTTTTTTCTCGAAGGACAGGTATCCAGCTCGAAATCAAACCGCTTGATTAGCAAAGAAAAGCGAGACCGGAGAAAGCCAAATAATCAGCAGTCCCTGCCCCGCACACCGTGGTGGTGAGCATTGCTAGTGCTCTCCACTATTTCCAGTTCTCCTCCCTGCCCTGGATGCTGCATTTCTCAGCTCCTTGCAGGAGACAGGGCCGGGATCACGGGTCTGGCCAATGAGCTGGGATGAGTGTCACTTCTGAGTCAAAACACAGGAGAGTACTGTGCAGATCTCTGCACCCCTTTCCCCTGATTGCAGAAGTGTGTGAAAGAGGGAGGTGCCAGCAGGCCAAGGCAGCAAGAGTCTCAGCACCACCGCAAAGGCTGCTGGGGGACTCCAAGTCTCGCAAGGGACTCTGTGTGACTTAGACATACACTATGAACATGAAACCACCAAAATGTGGCCTGTGTGATACAATGTTCCCAGTAAAATCCACAGAATCTGTATGGGAAGTTATTAATCAGGAAGTGAAACTCCTATTTCATATCTGCTTTCCCCACTTTCTTTCTACACGTTAGAAAGATGCATACCTTTATCTCATTCTATACACATAGAAGCTCATACTATAGGGTCTATAAACAATTTTTTCATTGTGTATTTAATACACATATCTGCATATCAATGTTACCCGTTTTTCTTTCTTTTATACAGCACATTATTGTATAATTAGCAATTTAGTTTAAATAGTAGCCTATATGATGGACAGTTAGGCTATCTCCAATTTTTATATGAAAATAGAAGTCATGTTTGTGTGTGTTTGTACCTTTGCACACATGTCCAATAATTTCCTCCGAATTAATTTCTAAGTGTGAGATTACTTGGTTAGAGTCTGCACATCTTTGATTTTGTCTGTCAGCAAATCGTTCTTCAGAAAAATGGGATGATTTACATTCTCTTTGATAATGTGAGTGCTCATAAGTGCTCATTTTCTACGTCCTCATCCACACTGGGTAGGCTAAAACCTTTTAAGAGATGGGAATTCTTAAAACCAAACAATAGTTTTTTTTATGATTAGTTGTTTAAAGACAATTTTAAATAAATGTGTCATTTGTCTTTCCTCTTTGAGTATTTTCAACTTATGTTCTCTCCCATTTTCCTAGTGTTCTATTCCTCTTTTGTTTTATCTAGCAAGGATATTAACCCTCTCTATTTTACATATGCTGCAGTTTTCCTCATTTTTTTGTCTCAATATTATAAGGATGTTTTTTAAAGTGTGAGGATTTTTTACTTGTTAAACAGTCAAATCTGTTCATCTTTTACTTTTATGATTTTGCTCTTGAGTTTTAGCTAAGTAAATCTCTTATATGTGGCTTATAATGATGTCTCTATTTTTCTTCTACTCTTGAAAAACTGGTTATTAATGTGAAAAAAATGGCATATTTTATTTTTAAAGGGCACATTTTAAATGTTGATGATTTGGTGTATCTATTACTTCTTTGTTCAATCTTTTTTTATTTCCGAGTAAAATGCAGTACTTTTTTTACATAAATTTATTTATAAAGTATTGACATTTCAAGCTTGAAGATCAATATTTATAGCCATAAGAGATGATTTTTTTTTTCTGTTTTAGGAAAGAGGACAGAAAAATACAACCCGCCATCTTCAAAAAGAAGACAGGAAAACAAGCTCCCAAGAAGTAAGCAAGAAAAATGAAATTACTATTCCCTTGTTCATCACGGCCCTTACCGGATGACCCGCATGGCCTCCTCTCCTGCTACATGGCTATCTGGGTATCCCTGGAGCACAGCCAGTCCCATCCTTGCCCCCTAGACTACCCTGTTAAAGGCCCTCTCCTCACAAAAGAAGGAGAACCCAGACACCATGTTGGTTCCAGCAGACCTCTTTTCTCTTATCAATGGGAGCGATAGGGTGGAACTGGACAGAAGGTGTCAGGCAGTTTTGAGATTAGGACCGTGTCTAGTCTGGCTCCGAGCCAGGATGAATAGACAAAGCAAGTCTTAATAGGCAGGCAGGATTCAGACTCCCAGTATCAGACTGGAGTTAGATTTGGAGTCATGGAGCATTCAAAGTCACCTGAATTGCCTCGTGCCTGCTTATCTTGTGTCTACTCCATGCATGAAAATTGCATTATTTGCAGTTTAGGAAACAAAAATGTGCGAAACTGCATTTTCCGGTTCCTCTGCTTTATCTCTCTGCTGTCTTCGTCACCCTGAACTCTCTCCCTCCTACTTTCCTCCTTCCCTTTTCCTTCATCCTTTTACTCAAAACCATGTACCCAAGGTGTGCCAGTCAGTAAGGATTCCCTTGGATTCTGGGCCATTCTGTGAGCGCCCTGGGAGGGCATTTCCCCTCAGCTCCCAACATGCATCATGACATGAGCGTCACTGCTTTGGACATGCTCCACACTTTCCTGCTTGCTTCCAGTGCCTCTCAGTCTCAGGGTTGTAACCTAGGAGGGGACTCAGATCTACGCGCTTGCCCTCTTTTTCTTCCTGTCTCTTTCTCCTGATTTCCAACCCCATCGTCTCCCTCGGCCGGAGAAACTTAGTCTTTGTCATATGCTGAGTTTTCCTCTTCTCGGAAAACTTCACATTTAGACCTCCCAACTTGTATTGTTAGCATATAAAGGTAATTTTGGGAATTTAGAAATCCCGTGGGCTCTCAGCAAGTTCTGTGTTTCGAGATTTTGTGTAAGCTCTCCAAAAGAGTCTCAGCGGAGCAGTGACGTCTCAGTTCTAGCCAGCATCTGTCCTTTCCCAGATACTTATTGATTTAATAATTAGGGAACCCTGGGCCATTGTGATTTATAAGGATAAAAAAATACATCACTTTAATATTTTCACAAATGTGCTCATATATATATTCAGTCAACAAAGGCAACTGGAGTGTGAGGTATGTGTTAGGTACATGTGCCAGGTCCTACGGGTTCAGCAGTGAGCAAATCACAAATACCTTTGAGTTTTAGCTAAGTAAATCTCTTATATGTGGCTTATAATGATGTCTCTATTTTTCTTCTACTCTTGAAAAACTGGTTATTAATGTGAAAATATGGCATAAGTGGGAGCTTACGTTCTAGTTGATGCACGTGTAGTTAACAGACAAAAAGAGAGGTTGAAGAGGAGAAAGAGAAACGGGATGAAGAATTGTGAGTTTGGGGAAGAAAAAAAAGAGAGACACAAAAAAGAAGAGGAATAACTATAAGAAAATAAGATAAAAGACAGGTGTAAGAGTACAGGGATTTCCTGAAAGGTGGAGGACTCGGGTATGAGAGGGGAAGTCACTAACAGGGGGAGGAGGGAGTTCACCGGGGACCCCAATTTAAACTGTTCACAAATCACTGTCCCACGGGCAGCCTCACCTCGGCACAGAATCCAAAAGAAGCTCCATGTGGTGGATCAAACAACTGAAAGGAAGGATGATTCCACCAGGAACTCAAAGATCATGACAAGGGCTCAAAAGGCAAGGACTGAATGTGTCCAAACCTCTGGACCAAAGGGTAAGCTGAGGACTGACTCTGCCATTCGAATGCTCAGTGTGGGAGGGTCTCTCATGGGGCAGGCACAGAGTTGGGTATTGTGTGAAGGAAACAGTAGAAGGGAGCAGTGCAGACAGGACAGCAAGGAGCTGCTGGACTGAGAGTGGTTGTGGGAAGAAGTCAGTGCAGGGCTCCCAACATGCAGGTCAGCTCAGCTGTGCCACGTGGGCTCAACGTGACCGTGTCCCAGGGTCTACTGTTTGACATTTCTCTTAGTAGAGTCACCACTGCTCCACTGAGTCTGGGGGCTCCTGTCGGATCCAAAGCTTGCTCCCTGGGAGGAGTGGCACCAATCCTCAAAGTGGACACACTCTTAAGAATATTTCTTAATGGCTTATTTCTAGAAGTGAAGTGGCTTAGTCAATATTTAAAATTAGCACACCCTGATGATCAAATTGTTATCAGTTTAGTCTCCCATTAACATCATATGGATGCTCTTTTTCCTCCATCTCCACCAAAACTAGAAATAGTAAGACTTTTCTGTTTTGACAGATTAAAAACAAAGAATGAGGGGCGCCTGGGTGGCTCAGTCGTTAAGCGTCTGTCTTCGGCTCAGGTCATGATCTCAGGCTCCCTGCTCCGCGGGAAGCCTGCTTCTCCCTCTCCCACTCCCCCTGCTTGTGTTCCCTCTTGCCGTGTCTCCCTCTGTCAAATAAATAAATAAAATCTTTAAAAAAAAATGCTATTCCACCCATGTTTTCCTTTGAATTTTCTTGCATTTTGCATGTGATAGGTTGTATTAGTGGTCACTGATATCTCTGAAAGTTATATACCCTTGCCCTGTGGACCCCAGTGTGGCCATGTCACCTGACTTGGCCAAAGAAATGTGGGCAGAGATGTGAGGGTCCCTTCAAGGCCAAAGCTTTAAGATCCTGTGTATCATCTTTTTCTCTGCCATAGGAACAACGGTGTTCTAGAGAGAGGTTGCTCTGTCCCCAGGCCATGTATGTCAATGACATGGAACTTCATCTAACTTGTGATGAATGAGTTAACATGAAGAAGTACAACTGGGTTGTTCTCAACCAGCACTTGGCAAACTTTTTCTAAAAGGGGCCAGATAATAGTTCAAGCTCTGCTGGCCATACAGTCTCTATTGCAACTACTACTCTACACTGCCATTGTAGCATGAAAGCAGCCAGAGACAAATATATAAGCAAATACACCTGGCTGTGTTCCAATGCGCAGTGGCCGTTTCGTAGCCAACGAGGTTTATCCGAGGCGCGACTACTGCTAATTGAAAACTTTATTTTTATTTTTTTAACTTTGTTAGATTTTATTTGTTTATTTGAGAGAGAGACAAAGAGAGAGGGTGAGAGAGAGAGAGAGAGAGAGAGCATGAGCGAGGTGAGGGGCAGAGGGAGAAACAGACTCCCTGCTGAGCAGGGAGCCCGATGCAGGGCTCAATCCCAGGACTCCGGGATCATGATCTGAGCTGAAGGCAGACGTTTAACCAACTGAGCCACTGGGTACCCCAAAACTTTATTTTTAAAAACAGGTATTGAGCCAATTTGGCCATCAGGCTGTCATTTGCCGATACTTGTAATCAACCACTGAGATTTGGGAGGATCACAATTTACCATAACATCATCTAGCCTATCTCCACGAAGATACCTGGTTTTTTAAATAAATTTTGTTATTAGAATTTTTTTCTTTTCAGGATCACCTGTTCATGTTTGCCCATTTTTGTATAAGATGATTCATTTTGTTTTGTTTAATCTATCACAGAAATGAACACTTCGTTATTGCAATTTTTCTTATTTTATTTGTGTCTTTTAACTTGAGAAATTTTTGGTTGTGGAAACTTTTTTTTTTATTTAGACAAATCAGTTTATCTTTTCCAAGATGGTTTATGCCAGAGTTTCTCAACCTTGACACTGATTGGCATTTGGAACTGAATAATTCTTTGTCATGAGTGCTGTCCTGTGCATCATGAGAAGTTTGGCAACATCCCAGCCATTAGATGCCAGTAGCATCTTCCTCCCAGCTGTGAGAAACAAAAAGATTTCCCAACATTGTCAAATATCCCCCAGGGGACCTAATCACCCCACATTGAGAACCATGGCTTTATGCCCTATATTTCTTCCTTAAAAAACCCTTTCTGTGTTATGTTTATAAGGTTATATCCTTTATCTACTTCTATTGTTTGTATTAAATACATATATATTATGGATATAAGTGTGTATTAAAAACACTATATTGATTGTTATACATTATATTAATATACATTAATTTATTAATATACAGCATCTATAATATTTTTAGCCTTCCTCCCTATCAACATGAGCTTGCTAGTTTTCCGTGATCAATGCTATAATATTCATTTCACAAGACTCATATCTATCTTGTTTCTCCAAAGCGGTAGAAAGACAGAAAAAAATTACTTTAAAATAGTTGCTATATAAAGCATATAAATCTATGTTTCAAATTATAGATGACACTATTTTTTTCATTTTTTTAGAAAAGAAAAGGGAAAAAAATGTCAGTTCAAGTTCAACAAGAAGGTGTCAGAAAAATATTCTTCCAAAGGGTAAGTAATCCAGAAGCAGGGCCGGTCAGGCCGCATGGCGCCCTGGCCAGATGCTAATTGCTTGCCTCCCTGTCTTCCTCCTCTTTCCCTCCCATTCTTGTCCACTGCCTAGGTCTCCTTCACCTGCATTCTTCTCCGCTCTAACAAGGTGTCACACCTGACACTCCAGGTGAATGTCAGTGCATTCCTTGTGCCGCCTACCCAATCACCTGCTTCGGCACTAGGATGGATTCTTCAACAGAGAACCCACCAACAAAGACCCAAAATGTTCAAGAGAGAATGACTGAACCCATGAGTCAAGTTCTAACATCAACCTCTACTTCCTTCCTTCCATAGGGTGAGAACCCTTATGGAAGCAAGGCCCTGTTGGTGTTCCTATCTGCAGAGAGCTGAACTTTCTCTTCCTGAGATAGACAAGGGTACGAGCCTGGTCTCTGTGGGTCAGCCCCTTGGCTTGCTTCTGCCCCCTGCACCCTGAGGCCTCTTGGGGTCACTGTTCTCCTCTCTTCCTCCTCTTCTTCTGCTTGCTCACATTTCTCTTCTGCTTTTGTGACACATCTTCAACATCATCCCCTCTCCCTCTCCCTTCCCTCTATGCTCCAGTGACATTGGTCTTTTTTTCCCCATGAATTTGTCCGTTTGTGGCAGGTCTGCAAAAAGAAGGAGCTTATAAATTAACTGTGACACTGGACAAATTGTCTTTACAGCAAGACCTCCTCAGTGGAGATGCCTTGATTTCTATTTTTTTTTTTTTCTTTTTCCTTTTTTGAGAGAGAGCGCGACAGAAAGTGAATGCGCCTCCCGGGGGTGGCACCGGCAGAAGGAGAGGGAGAGAGAGAATCCCAAGCAGGGTCCACACCCAGCATGGAGCCCAACTTGGGGCTCGATCCCACGACCCTGAGAGCCTTGATTCTACTTGGATCAAGCTGCTGTCTCATCACACGCTAACATGTTGAGTAGCACTGGTGTAATGTGCCTAAGAGAAATGCACATACCATAAATGTACACCTAGAGGAATTAACACAAAGGAAAAGCTCATATGTACCTGGCACCTAGGTCAAGAAACACAACCTAACCCACACCCGCAATCCAACCCCTACCCACACCCCGAGTGTCCCCACCAGCCTGATTTCTGAGAGCCTAGGCCACTTTGACACCGGACGCTATGCCCCCCTTTCCTGCTCAGGACTTCCTCAGTGTGTCCCCCTCACACACTTCCCCCCCAAAGCTAATCCCCCCTTGCCCTCCTTCCTTTTGCTTCACACCCTCAGGCCTCACCTTGAATCAAGAACTCTCTGGCCCAGCAGGCAAGGGTAGGTCTCCCCGACATGCCTTCATAGAGCCTACTGTTTTTTTTTTTCTCATGGCCCTTGTCACAACTATAATTAACTGTTCACTGTGTGAAAGTCAAATGAGATCAGTAAGCAGTCAGTCTTGCTCATTGCTCTATGTCCAGCTCCTCTGTGCCTCACACAGTTTATGCTTAAATAACTATCAGATCAACACATTATCTGTTCTTCTTTACAAAGTATGAATGCCAATATCAGAGCCTCCATTTCCTCATACAATGCAGTATGAGCTCCAGTGACTACTACCATGGAGCTCCAGATCTTTCCCCAGGCCACATCTGTCCATGAATGATTTTCATCTTGTGCCTTTTCCCTATGTTCATCTATCCAATCAGTAATTAACTTTTTTTCCATTCTGCTTTTCCTTGTCTCTGTTAGGCTTTCTTTTTGTTTCCTCCACCATGCTTTTCATTTCCATGAACTCTCTTTGTTAATTGCTTACTTTTCATAGCAGGCTCCTCATTGTTCACTCACACTTATGAATGGTGATCTCATAGAGTGGGAGAGCGGCAGGCCGGCCTTCCCCTCCGGTTTCCAGCCTTAAAGCTTGTTTGCAAGAGGAGCAGGCGAGACTAAGCCAAATGCAGGATGACTGGGAACAGATCAGAAAGCTGTCCCTACTTAGGTACACGGTGGTGGCTTTGGAAATACTCCGGACACAAGGTCCTGCCTGACTTGGTAGGCTGCCTGCACCGAGTAAAGGAGGGAGTTCTGCTGGTACCACAACTCTGCACCCTGGCTTGCTGCCCAGAACTGCCAGTGCCACCCACTGTTCCCGCATCTGCTTGCAACCGTGTCTGGGACATCTGTGTTTTGGGACCTGTATTTACCATAGGGAATTAGGGAATTAGTTCCATGAGACAGAAAACCATACAAGGTCCCCAATGCCCTGCTAATCCACCTTGGGGTTTGCAATAGTCCAAAGTTACCTGTGGCTCTGCCTTGTCACCCTCATTAGGAACCCCCAGTGGCAAATCTTCCACTCAACTTTGACAGTAATATGCACTTACATAACCTTGCTAGTAAACTGCACAGCCAAGATTATAAGCCCAGCCAATCTGGCTCCTGAGGCTGAGCTGTCATCCCCTGGGCCATATTTATTTAAATGGGCAGAGTCTGGAGACAAGTAGTGGAGCCAGCCATTCCATGCAAGAATGGCTGGCTCTTGAAACTAAGTTCTTCCCACCCCTCCTTCCTACCCAGGCTTGCTATAGCCCCTGCCCCTCCAAGGCTGGGCATCTTCTAGCGTTCTGTTCAGGGGAGAAATCCCCTCACTTCTCGGGAATCTCTGCTTTCTTATCTGACTCTAGTTCACATCTTTCCAAAGTAACTAATGATTTCTTCACCATTCATGCTGCTCTGTTCTCTTTCCAATGGTGCTCTTGCTTTCTCATACACTTCCTTTTGGCTCTTTTTTTTTTTATTTTTTTAAAGATTTTATTTATTTATTTGACAGAGAGAGAGAGAGAGAGAGAGAGAGAACAAGCAGACGGAGCAGCAGAGGGAGAGGGAGAAGCAGGCTCCCTGCCAAGCAGAGAACTGGACACAAGCCTTGATCCCAGGACCCTGGGATCATGACCTGAGCCGAAGGCAGACACTTAACTGACTGAGCCACCCAGGCACCCCTCCTTTTGGCTCTTTTAATAAGTATCTGAGGCAAGAGAGAAAGTTGGACTAGTTATTCACCTAGCCTTATTCTACAAGTAACATCCTGTATAGTGCAACATAAGCCATGGGCAGAGTTTTCTCCTTCCCCCTAGAGACAGCTCCTGCAGTCTATCTGGAATGAATCCACCCACAGTAAGGCTAGAGCAAAAAGAAGCAGGAATTGCTGATATTTATTTTAAACTCTTTTACAACTGCTTCTCCTGAATCAATATCCCACATCCCGACTCAGGGGTTCACAGTTGCCAAATCTCTCCATGAGCAATTCGCAGATTAGTCTAGAGTTCTTGGGGTTTTTCTTTTTTACTCATAGAGGAAGAAACGGAAAAGCAATAAAATGAAAAAGGAGAGCAAAAAATGAAGACTGACACTAATACCTCAGCACTAAGCACCTCACTCATCCTGCCTTGGTTTAAATCAGGAGATAAGATTATAGACAAAAACCTTTCCTCCAGCTACATGAGCACCACAAAATATTTTGAGCAGGCAACTTCTATCAGCACAGAGAGATAAGCAGGTTGCTTATGGAATAAAGAAACTTAGGTGATGGCCAATTAGCTTATGAATTAAAACCCACTCACCAAAGAAGCCCTATATGTTTTACTAAACATTTTGTTTGATGTGGTGTTGGTGGTGATGGTTTTGTTGATCGGAAACTGCTCTGTCCATGTTAGCTAATCTGCCATTCAAAATGGAAGACCTTCTGCCAGTTAACCAGAGGCTGCCCTCCAGTACTATTTACATGATTACTGTTATTCCTATTATCAGAACTTAGGGAAAGGAAAATCCACGAAGGAGATAGAATGAAGAATGAGCAACACTACACTCTTCTACTTTCAGAAAAAGCCAAAGATGAAACTGTGGATTTTCTCTCTCCTGAACTTCCTGTGACTTGTGGTGAAGCCAAAGGCATTTTATATAAGGAGAAATTGAAACAAGGTGGGTTTCTCAGTCTTCTGCTCTTTGGAACCCCTAGAACCACCAGAAGAGAGGGAAATCCCCATGTGTTTAATCATCCAGGAAATAAACCCTGCAAGCTAGGCTGCAGAGAAAGAAGTGCTTATTAAGAAAGAATTTTCACTTTTCTGTATCCTGGTAAACCTGGCAGCTGAGCCACTCCACTCCCACGTGGAAGTCATCCCTGGACCCAGTGGCTCTACTTGCCACGTGTAGATGTCACATAAGATGCAAATCCTCTCCCACTCCCACACCACTCCTGCAGGCTTCAGGGCTTCCTTCAGTCTGAGAAAGGAGGAGTCCAGACTCCCTTGCTACTGCTCTCTCCCCACAGGGAGTCTCTCTGGACCCAGGCAGGTGGAACAACCACAGTTAAGGATTTGAGGTTTAGGGTGAATTCACAGAGAATGAAATTGGATCTGGGAATAAAGAATAAAGAATAAAGCCTTCTTTATCTTACAGGATCCTCAGAGAAGTGCATTCGGAATGAGGCGGGGGTCTGGTTCACACCAAAAGAATTTGAAATCGAAGGAAAACGGGCAAATACAAGGAAATGGAAGCAGTCTGTGCATTGCAGAGGAAAGACCTTAGAAGAGCTGCTGAAGGTATTTGACAGGGAACAGATGGGTGATGGTTTTAATTCCTCGAAGGATAAGTGGAATTTCAATAACGGAAATGTGAAGGAATTTCCACTGGGATTCCACAGCATGATTGAGAAAGAGCTAGATTTTTCATAGAAAAAAGTTGTGGGTGATAAAGTTAGGAACGCAGATTGGTGGTGCCCGCAGTGGAGAACTTTAAATGTGAGCAAAGGGTTGTGAGGTCAGGAGAGTTTTAAGAAGCTTAGCCTGGGGATATTGGATGGGGTGAGCTGGAGGAAGCCAGATGGAGACACAGACCTCAGAGAGCAGCCTTGCATCCTCTGCCCAATAAAGGCCCCTTCCAGACCCTGCTCCATCTGGACGCCGGGGTGACACTTTTAAGGACCACCCTGTCTGTGGGCAGTCTCTCCTCTGTACTTCCCCAGCTCACACACTATCCTGTGAGCAACAAACAAGGCTATTGGTCTTTGTTGGTTGGGATCCCAGAACCCAACACAAAGCCTCCCCAAAAACACTCAAAAAGTTATCACTGTGATGGAATCATAAGGACTTTACCTACAGAAGGAGAAATGGAGAGGGGAAAAAGTGGGTGAGAAAAGACCTGGGAAAGAAGGACTAATGGATCTTGGGTTTGAGTAATGGGAAAAAAAAAAATGATTTTATCGAGTGAAGTCCAGAAGAAGAACTGATTGGAGGATGGAGCTGATGTTTCTTTCATACACCTTGGGTTTGAGACCCAGTAGGATGTCCAGCGACAAATATTCACTAGGAAGTGGGAACTTCGATATGGACAAAAGAAGAGCCTCTAGAATAACCTCATTCACTGACCCCTTCTCTCTTTCAGAAAGGACTTTTACTCTGTCCTCCAAGAATAAGTGTCAAGAGAGAGGTAAAGAGCAGGTGAATTTCTACCACATTTTCAGTCACCATGTTGCAGACTCTCTGCATCCAAAGGCTCACCTTCGAGTCCTCAAGTTCCCCAGCCCTGGGTCACCTTTACTTTCAGGCATTGCGTCTCCATGACAATGGCATTGGCACATTGATACATGTACGTGCCATCATAATTTCATAGTTAATTTGAGATGGGGACACAAATAACTCTTAAAATAAGGACTAGGGCAAAAACTGATGATTTACATGTGTTTTAGAGATTTGGATGAATACAAATAAAGGGTGTCAGAAATAGATTGCTCTAGTTTGAAAAGTAATTATGAAATGGAGGTAGACAAGAACCGTATGTGAAAGAGCAAGACGACCATCCTTGATTGAACACAACTATTCCTCAATTCAACGTGCTCATTATCAGTAGCACCAAAATGGAATAGTGTTTGAACTGAGCTTTGTCTCGGCAGAGCATCCCTCCAGGTGAAAATGGCAGTCATCGTTGTCTGCACCAGTTGCTCCTCCTCAGCCTTCTTCATTTGCTTAAATATGTCCTCCAAATACAAATCTCATTCGTGAACTTCCCATGGTTGCCTTTCGCATGTTACCCTGGAGGCTGGCCTGACACTTGGCTGGATTCATTCAAAGTTCAAAAAGACAAGGGGCCCCCAAAGCTGTTTATTGTATAAAACATCTTTTCCATGCTGATTTGAAATACCTTAATGTGTACAGGGGTGCTCCTTGTAATAACCAAAAATTAGGGAAGAATACAAATGCCCATCATAATTATAAAATAAACTGACATATCTACTGAGTGGTGTTTAAAAAAAAATGCATGAGTATAGACTCCTTCCTCAGTCAATGGAAAACCACCCAAAGCTTCTAAGGTCAAGAAAGCTTTCAGAAGCTTAAATTAGCAGTAGTAGTAGTAGTAGTAGTAGTAGTAGTAGTAGTAGTAGTAGTAGTAATAGTAGTAGTAGTAGAAGGAGCCCAATTTTGTTTATGTGACTTTGTAGGTCTATGATTGAAAATATATCTGAATGAATTGGTTATTTTGGGATAAGATTATATGGGACATTTGTCGTCCATATTATACATTTCTGTACAGGTAAAATTTTTATAATGACCGTTTATTACTTTTGTAACCAGGAAACAAAACAATAAAGATATTTTAAATCCAGAGCATTAATTAATGGCCCCAATATTATAGTTCCTTCTCACTCATAATGCCACATGTCAGCACATTATAGTCAGAAATACACTTGACCCGACATTTTGGTCCTGCCTATCAGTAGCCACATTGGGATAATGAGATAATCTGTAATGACTATAAATGGATGAATGCAGGCCTTTTCTTCAGCCACATTATCTAATACATCACTGTTGCTCAGCAACATGCCCAGTCTCCATTGGTGTCTATCTTTGTCTCTGTGTACTTTCAAGAAACCTGATGCTGATACTCCAAACATATGTTTTGTGACTTCCCTGGGGGACGCTGCTCCCATAACCCAAGGCAAAATGAGCAGCTGGTACAAAGTCATAGGCTCAGGGCCTGTGAGACCCTCCGTCTCTAGAAGGGCCCAGTGTGAAGATAGCAGTGGTTACTCTAATGTTGTATAGTGGGAACTAAGGAGAACGGGTTTTTTGCCTTTTTTCTTTTTTTGGACAGATTCTAGAGCCTTTGATTAAAGGGATTCTCTTCAAAGTGGGCCAATTTACAAGCAAGCATACCTGGACATAAGTAAAATCTATAAATGAGGAATATGTTACCCTGGATCCAAAGGCCTAAAAGATGTTGGGCAATAGTCTTGGGTACTGAGAGGGTTTTTCAACAATTGTTTCTTGGCAGTTTCAGGGATGGAGCAACCTTCAAATGACCAAATAATGCCCAGAAGTTTGCTGAGCTGATGGGGCCTTGTACTGTGTGTAGATGATGGCCTGCCCCTTTTTGTGAGCTCCTTTGTGAATAATTAGACATTCTGAACGAGTATGTCAAATGAAAAGGATGTCATCAATGTGGTGTTATATTTGTGCTCCTGGGGAAAGTGGGATGTAGTTAAGATCTTGCCTGCAGAGGTTGTATGTGATGGTAAAGCTGTTGAGGTACTGTAGGCAACCATGTCAAAGTAATGCTACATCCCTACAGAGGTGAAGGCAAGCTGCAGCGGAGATGCTGTTGAAAGAGGCACAAAGCAGAACTTCCTAGCCAAATCTGGGACAGCGAAACACTTGCCAGTTGCCAAGCAGTTGGTGTCAGTAATTTTCGATAATACTGGGTATAAGGACCTTAATGGGTGGAGCTCCTTTGCAAGGAATTATATCCCACTAAATTTAAACAAGTTACCCGCTGTACTTTTAGGGGCATTACCAAAGATAAAATAGAGGACAAACAGGTATACCTCACTTTAACCATCAAAACTGTTGCCTTGCCTAAATGCCCCATGGTCATAATACTCATAGCTCTAAAATATCCCACAGTGGGCGTGGATGTTCTTACCCAATGAATAATGAAGTTGAATCAGTCTTAAAAAAAAAAAAAAAAAAGGAACCCATGGGCCTCCCCTCTCTTAAAATAGTTAGTAGAATCCAGTATAAACTTCAAGCCTCAAAACTCATGATACAAGATCTACTTCACACAGGAGTGATTACCTCTACTGTTTCTCTATTTGACTGCCCATTTGGTCTGTTGTTAAACTTGGGAAGAATGAATGGTGCCTCATGGTGGGTGACGGCAACCTCAGTGCCATGGACCAGCAGGCAGGAACACTAAAGCATAAGCCAGTTAGTGGAGCCAGTCAGCAAGCCAGAGCAAGAGAAGACAGACCCCAGTCCCTGAGACTCCTTGCTTGTTGAGCCCGTTGTCTTCTGATTGCCGGCAAGGAAGCGGGATCAGCCCTCCACCAAAAACTGGGTCCGGATACCAAAACTGATGATGCGCTACATGCACCAAGAGAGTACGAAATGATTTATTACTCACGTACTGAGGCTTTCTAGGGAGACCAGGGCCGTCTCCCAAGCTGCTGTGAAAATGGCCTGAGTAGTGAGGGGGAGTAGCCCAAGGTTTTATTATGATGGGGGGAGGGGGAGCAGGGTGAGAATTCCCTTGCGGGGGCGGAGCTTGTCTGGTTTGAACTTCTCACTGGGGCCAAGAGGGGGAGCCCCTGAGCTGCCTTAGCCAGTTGCCACCCTGATGTGGCAAAAGGGAAAGAGGAGTGGGACTTGAAGCTGTCAGCCATCAAATATAAAAGCCAGAGCCAGAACGCGGCTGTGGAGCTGTAAGTCCTTTGTCTCTTTCTCTGTCATATCATGTGTGTTGGAAACTGTTCCACTCCAGAGCCTAGGGAAGGGGGTGTTTTGTGTTGGTCACAGCCTATCAATAACCAATGTTGTGGTTGGACCGGCCTTTGTGGTTCTTATTATAATCACTAGATGCCCTCCAGCACTAAGCATCAGGAAACTGGAAAAAAAAAAAAGTTTATTATTTACAGGACCTGGAAATTACAAAGTGCATCTGGGGCCATACAGTGAGGCTGTGGAGAGACAGATGGAGAGACAGAGGTAGAAAAAGAGGTAGAGAGAGAGAGGGAATGAGCATGTAGGCGTGAGGTTCTGCCTTTAATTGGGGTAGAGGGTGGGGGCCTAGGGTTTCTCTGGTTCAATCTTTATTGGTGAGTTTAAAACATAAGAGCTAGAATTTAAAGTGTGGGAAGGGGTGGGGGGAAGGTGGCCCAGGGGCACCTGGGTGGTTCAGTCGTTTAAGTATCTGTCTTCAGCTCAAGTCATGATCTCTGGGTCCTGGGATCGGCCCAGTGTTGGGCTCCCTGCTCAGTGGGGAGTCCGCTTCTCCCTCTGCCTCTGCCCCTCCCCCTGCTCTCTCTCTCTCTCGCTCTCTCTCTCTCTCAAATAAATCAAAATCTTAAAAAAATTTTTAAAAACAAACAAGTGGCCCAAATGGTCAGTTATTGAAATGAACCGAGATCCCTAAAACAAAGGAGCCTCAGTGGGGATTGGTGGCCTGGCTCTTTATCTAGTTGTGTGGCTGGAAATGTTTACTTGAGAAATAGCAAGATAGCTGTGTTTATCGGGGTGCTGGAGCAATCAAGGCTTCAGTTAGGCACTCACATTACAAAAAAAAAGTGAAAAAAAACTATCAGTGCTCACACTACAGAGGGGCTGGGGCTCTGGATCCAACTGGGGTCTCAACTAGGAGGAGTGGGTAGGTATGGGCTGCTTGGGGAACTGGGGTCTGCACCCTGGACCTGGGCAGGCGAGTCAGAGGGCAAGAACGGCCATAGAGTGTCAACTCCAGGGACAAAGAAAAGCAGACTGGGAAGTTCAGGAGAGGAAATCCAGAAAGGTCACCTGAACTTCAGGGCTGGTGGGGAGCCCTCTTTATGGAGTCCTGGGGCCCCTGTAAGTAGAGGAATTTGCTCAGGAAGCCTCCCCAATTAAGACAGAGATGAACTCATCCCCACATCAAGAGGGATTTTTACTCTGGCTGAATGGCTAGATTTTATTTATTTATTTGAGAGAGCGAGCATGAGCAGGGAGAGGGACAAGTAGACTCCCCACTGAGTAGGGAGCCCGACACAAGGCTCGATCCCAGGACCCCAAGATCGTGACCTGAGCCAAAAGCAAATGCTTAACTGACTGAGCCACCCCCGCGCCCCTCTGAGTGGCTAGTTTTGAGAACGCACAAAACATTTCCATCCCTTATGCCCTCACCCAGGTCCTTGTACTTCTGTTGTGGACAGTTGAGGGTAGTGGCAGGATCTCTCTCCTTAGGTATGACTGATCCCCAGCTCATTCAGTCCTTTGCTCCAGTTCCTGATGTTCTATTTCCCACCTTTTCACCACCTAGAAAGATGCCTCTTCCTGACTCCTCCCTTTAAGTGCGGAGAAAACATGTCCTTGTGTGTGGAGCCCCACTGTCCATCTTGCAGGGTCGGGAGTGGAACCAGGGGCTCCTGCCTGTAGGTCTTTATCCAGCAGTAAAGATCACTTGTAGAATTTACTCGTTCCCAATTTAAGGCCATGAGAAAGACAATGATTTCAAAGGCCCACAAAACGACCCATTTATACAGCTGCTCTCTGTCTTTATGTTTCTGTTTGTTGGCCATAATGTCAGGAACTGTTCTGGGTCTGCCCAGCATTCTTGCCTGGGATGACACACAGTGGACGGAACAGCTCTGAACCCAGGCACAGGCAGCCTGGGTGCCAGTCTGGCTCAGGTACTAAGTTGTGTTGACTCTGCAGGAAAAAAAAAAAAAAAAAAAAAAAAAAAGCACCTCGTCTTTCCAGACTTGTAAAATGAGGAGGTTGCCTAAAGCTTTGTCTTCTCAAATTTTCATGTACTTGCAAGCCATCTGGGATCCTGTTAAAATGGATTTCAATTCAGTAAGTCTGCATGTCTCCCAGGTGATGCTGATGCAGCTGGTCCTCAGACCACACTTGGTGTAGAAAGGGCTTAAAGGACCTTCCATCCCTTCCAGCTCTGGCAGGTGTGGTTCAAGGGGCAGCTTGATGATTCTTGCCATTAGCCCTTCTGCGACTGGAAAAGCCAGGCTCGCCCCCCATCTCAGCACTCTCCCGGAGCGCCACGGTCAGGCGGGTTGGAAGCATCCACTCTGGAACACGCAAGGATGGTGTGTTCCAAAGCCCCTTGGTGTCAGTGCTGATCCCAGCACTGCTGCATTATCTCCCCTTCCAGTGGGAAAACTCCAAGGACTGTGAGGTGTGCCGTAGAGGGGGACCACTCGTCTGCTGTGACACTTGTCCAAGAGCCTTTCATGAAGACTGTCACATCCCGTCTGCAGAGGAGAGGTTTGTGAAACCCAGCCTTGCCTTTTGCACACAGACTCTGCCCGGGCTCTGCCTTTGGTGGCTCAACTCCAGGCGGAAGGGCAGGACCCGTGAGCGTCGTGGCTCAGGTGTGACCCAGAGCCTTGGGATGGGGCAGCAGCCTATGTTCCATGTGGTATCATGACAGCCTCTGGCTCTGAGTCTGTGACTGAGCCACCTTGACTCTACCTTGCCACTGCCCCCGGATAGTGTCCTCTCCTAGTTTTACGACCCTGACTCCTGTCCCTGGGAATTGAGGATGGGAAACACCAGCTGTTTATGTTCTGTGCTTTTTCAGAAAAGGCAGGACATGTGGCCTGGTTTCATGCATTTTACCACGGGCTCGACGGGCTGATAGAGTCCTGGGTCCCCAGGGGTTAAGGCCCAGTTTTGACACTTGGGTGTGACAGGCAGGGTGCCTTGTGCTCCCAGCAGCTCAGCTGGGGAGAGGAGAGCCCACCACTCACCCTGACACCGCCCGGCACGCGCTGAGCCCCCTGTTGCCACCCTCCATGGGAGGAGGGTCATGGGCTCAGGCCCCACGTGGGGTCTTGGAGACTCTGGGAGGTGTCCCCTTCATCTCCCAGCTGTGTCCGTCGGCCATGCCTGAAAGGAGGATGGTGGCAGCCGTAGGAAGAGGGGCTGTTTCCAGGGGCCTGGCCCTTACCTATGCTCGACCTCTCAGGAGCCCATGGAGTTGCACCTTCTGCAAGATAAAGGAGTCTTCGGGAAGGCAGCAGTGTCACGGGGAATCTGAGGTCCTGGAGAGGCAGATGCAGCCTGAGGAGCAGTTGGTGAGTCGGTTGCCAAGCCCAAGCCTTCTCCTTACCCCAGACATGGGAGAAGTCAATAGGTAGAGGGGGAGGGGAAGGGCGCTCATGGGTACCTGAGGGAGCCTGCAGTGTCTCGCTTCCGAGGATGGCGCTTCGATGCCCAAACAGAGTCCAAACAGAGTTCGACGCACCGCACGGCTCTTTGGCAAGTGTGGTTTGGACGGCTGGCTGTGTCTGGTTCTTCCTGCTTGTGCCCGTCTGTCTAGGCACGGGTCCGGCTTTGCTTTCTCCGAGCTCCATTTCCCTTTAAAGCTTTCTTCACATTTTACAGAAATGTGAGTTCCTCCTCTTGAAGGCCTACTGTCATCCACAAAGCTCCTTTTTTGCAGAAACCCCACCTAATGTAAGTGACATTTTATGATTCTTGTCCTTTCGGGCATCTCTTTTTTGTAAAGCTCATTCTGGAATTTGGGAGTGTGCCTCCGAAGGGCACTGCTGTTTGCCGAGAGCAGGTGTCGTTGCAGAGTCTGGAGGGGGACGACCCGGTTCAAACTCCACCCACCGTGTCCTGGTTCTGGGAACCCCGGGCAACTTGCTCCACCTCCCGGGCACCTCAGTTTTGCCTTCTCTTTGGTGGGGATATCTTTCTTACAGACAGCAGAGGGTTTAGGGCACCTTCTCAGGAGACTTCAAGTTCCGCCTCTACCATTTTTTAGCTGTGAAATCCTGGGTAGGTTGTTTAACATCTCTCTCCCTTGGTTCCCTCGTCTAGAAAATGGGGGTAATTATAGGACGTATCTCAAAGGGTTGTTGTAGGATCATACGTTAACCTAGTGGCGGTATTCGGAGCGGTGTCTGGCGTAGACAAGTCCGATGCTAATATCATCGCTTCTGTTGTATTTCAGTTGGATCCCTTCCAGGAATAATGGCTGCGTTAATATCACCCTTTTGGTGGTCTTGTCCCTAGATTCGGGATTATGGAGAGCCCTTTAAGGAAGCCATGTGGTTGGACCTGGTTAAGGAAAGGTTGACAGAGAAAGTGTACACAGTGGCGTGGTTTGTTCGCGACATGCGCCTGATCTTTCGCAACCATAAAACGTTTTACAAGGTAAGGGGTGTCTCCTGTTTCCTCTGCACCCCCTTTCTGCTTTTCGCTAATTTCTGGGGCAGCAGAACGTTGAGAGAATTGTACAAATCTCGTCCTGGAGAGAGCTCAAAAGGAGTGGGATTACAAAAGAAAGCGGCCTCTAAATTCCAGGGGCGGAGAGGAATTCAGCAAGCAGGACAGGGAAGAATCCTTGTAAATGGGGCCTGAAAACAATCCGTCCCCAATTCTAGGATGGGCGGGATAGTGGCACTGAGAACAGTCCATCTCATCCTGCCTCCTTGTTCAAACGGGGAGGAAAGGTAGTTCATGGTTGCATTGTTTTCCATGCCTCAGAAATACAGAAATAAGTGAAGGAATTAAACTTTATGAAATACCTTAAACTCCCAGGTTGCTCATGCTTGGATTTTTTTACTCCTAAATTCCCCAGGGGACCCAAACCTCCAGAATTGTCCTCAGATGTTGTTGGCTTTGTCATTTGTCAGTAGCGAGAGTTGAGTTATCTTGCAAGCCAACGGGTTGTTAACTTTGGTCTGTTGAGTTTATCCTGATTTATACTATCATTTGGGTAGGTATTTCTTGGGAGATATCTAAGGAAGATTTCCATCTCCACCCAGCCTCCTTCCCTTCCTCCATGGCACAAATTGGCATGTTCATGAACCAGAAATTTTTTAACTGGTGTCTGCATGTGGAGCTGGAAGGAGAGTCTACCCAGGGAGCTCCCTCCAGGCCTGGCCCAGTCTCAGCCTCAGAGAGTGGAAGGCTCATCTTTCCTTCAGAGGGTGGGCTTTCAAGAAATGCTTTATCTCTATCTATTTTACCCCAAGCTCAGGCTTTGCAGTGATCAAAATCAGCTCTCCAGTCCTGACCACCGGTCAGGTCCAAGTTAGGAATCGGGCAGAGGCTTGTTCATTTCAATATCTGTGGCATTCAGCATCTCCCCCGGCCCTGCGCAGTCTGCCTGGCTGCTGGGGAAGCACAGCATTCGGGACAGGCAGGGAGGGGCTCCCCCCCCAAAGATGCAAAAATGCAAGTGATTTGATGGTCCTAATTCTTTGTCCTAAGACATCTGTTTGCTTTTATTTCTCTTTCAGACTTCCGACTTTGGTCAGATAGGACTGGACTTGGAGGCAGAATTTGAAAAGGACCTCAAAGAGGTGTTTATTTTTTGCAAAGCCAAGGAGAACAGCTTCCAGACTCTTTGACCCTGTTCTAGAAAGACTAAGGCACCCCAACTTCAGGATCCAGATGACGTGACCCTGGCCATCTTTAGACAGTCAGTGAGTCTGGGATGCTATTGGTAGCCCTCTTGACTCAAAGCCAGAGCCTTCATACCATCATCATACCTTCTTTTTTGTTGTTGTTTCTTTCTACACCTAAAAGAATGTGTGTGTGTGTGTGTGTGTGTGTGTGTGTGTGTGTGTGTTTTTAAACTACATCTCTAATCCCCAGCCAACACCACAGGCCTCTTCCTTGTCAATATGTCCATCTCTCTTCTCCCACAGTTATCTATTCTCATTTGCTCAACTAAACTACGAGGATAATAGCTTCAGAATCTGTACAGTCCTACCACTATGAAAAAGAAATTAAGCTGAATCCTAAATTGTGTGGAAATTATTTTGCTCCTGTTTTATATGTATATTCTGTTATATAGTGTTTCTGTTATATATATGTGTGTGTGTGTGTATATATATATATATATATTATATATTTCATATATCATTGCAGAGAGTATTTTTCAGAATTTTGCTCCTGTGTTTATGAATGAGGTTGGTCCGTAAGCTTCTGTGTACTGTCAAAATCAGATGGCAGGGCTATCCCAGCTTGGCACAAGAATGCCTAAAATTTTCTACCCTTTATATAAGCTCTGGAATAGTTTATAATGTTTTAAATGAACCAATTCATAAAATTATATAGCCTACCATTCTTTGTAGAGCTAATATTGACCATGTTCTCTGCTTTTACGGGGTCATTAAACTATTCAGATATTCTTTTGCTTTTTGAATCAGTTCCACTTTTACAGTTTTCTAAGAAGTCATTCATTGTGTGTATTGTTTATACTTGGCCTTATTTCTGCCATATTATTTTATTCCTTCTCTTTGGAATACTTTCATGTGATTTTTGTCTACATTTTCTTTGTTTTTACCTTCTATTCTGGAAGGCATTTGTGAGAGTTTTTAATTCTAATATTTACCTGCGAGTTTTCCAAATGTGTTTTTTACTTATTTTTTAAATGTCAGAGCCAGGGGCGCCTGGGTGGCCCAGGCTGTTGAGCATCTGACTCTTGATTTCAGCTCAGGTCATGATCTCAGGGTCCTGAGATAGAGCCCTGCACATCAGGTTCTGAGCTCAGCGGGGAGTCTGCCTGAGATTCTCCCTCCCCCTCTGCCCCTTCCCCAGCTCGTGCTCTCTCTCTCTCTCTCAAATAAATAAATAAATCTTTAAAAACAAATAAATAAATTCAGAGCCAAAAATAAAGTATCTTTAATGAGCCACATATTTAAGCCAAGGTGTTTGTCACTTTTTGTGCCCCTCAGCTTCCTAATTGAAATGGGGAGGAATTCACTATAATATGGCTGTGTATTAACGTTATTAAATGCTTACTTTTACTTTGTATTCATTATTTTAATTTTATTCAATTATATTATATAAGCCATTATTTTGTTATTTTTACATGACATAAATTGTTACTTCAAATATCTACTAAATTGAAAAGCAAAAGTTGAAACTACATTACCTATTTTCATGAGAGCAACATTAATGCTGTGAATCAATGTTGCTGGTCTTTTCTTGCAGTGACTTAGCCTTCCTTCTTTTTTTGCTCCTTCTTTCAGTCAGTGTGTCTTTAGGTAATTTTAAAAGAAGATTACACAGGTGACATGTTTTCTGAGCCTTTGCACGGCTCTGAATGTCTTCTTTGTTTTCATAAACTCACTGTTGGGCTATAATATGTGTTTTATCACAACTTCTCACCTTCAAAATCAACTTAGACTTTGGTCCACTGTGGTTTGGGCATTTTCGTCCCACACCCGTGAAGTCTGTGTTCAGACAGAATTCTGTTTCTTTGTTAGTGTGTAGACACATAGCAGGTTTCCTTGTTCTCTTTATAGTTACATATTTTTGACGGGACAGGATTCAGTGTAATATTCTTATCATTGATCTTGCCTGGCACTCTGCCCTTTCAATATACATATCCAGTTCTGTTTTCAGCAGCTGCATTAAATCTTTCTGATCCTTTTGTTCTGGGCTCTCTTTCAAGAACATCTATTATCCATATGCTGGCTAGCCACTCTCTGGCCTCCCTATTTATCATTTAAAAAAAAGAAAAAACAAGTTCTGGGAAGCACTCCTCTTCTGAGGTCATTAGTCTAAGACTTAAATATACTAACTCAAAACAATTGCAATTCTATGGTCAATATTTTTTTTTATCACCTTAATAATGCTCATTGCTCTCTATTAACCAAGCACATTTTTCTTACCACAATACTTTTCTTTTCTCGAGACGAAAATAAAAAGTTACTGCCACTACTAAGTTGTCCTCACCTGTGATTCTGATTTTTTCCTTCTTATGTAGTGTCAAATGGAAGAGCGTTATGGACTGACTTGTGTCCCCCAACAGATCCATATGTTGAATTTGCGCCTCCTGTACTCTGAGACAGGGTCTGTAAGAAGGGGTTAATCGTTCAATGAGGTCACAAGCATAAGGCCTTAATGAGGTAGGATGATTGTCCCCATAAAAAGAGGAAGAGACCTCGTGGTGGCTTTGCCCATGCGCACAGAGGAAGGAGCAGGTGACGAGGCAGCGAGACGGAGGCCCCCCCCACGCCAGGACCCAGCTCTCGCCCGGAGGGAATCAATCAGCTGACGCCTCCATCCAGAACTTTCAACCTCCAGAGCTGTGGGAAATAAATACCGGTCGTCTAAGCTGCCCAAGCTGGAGGTTTTGTTGCGGCAGCCCGGGCCGACTGACACAAGAAGTGAGCGGCACCTTGGGACCCCGCTGTCCTTCCCCACCAGGGACTCGGGCAGGAGTGTGTGGGAGCCTCCATTCCAGTACCTGGTGTCACCATGGAGAGAGAGGAGTCCCCCAGTGTTTCCACAGCAGGGTGAACTATGATACAGACTGACCACCTATGATCCAGCGAAGAGTGGAAGCAGCTTGAACCCTGACTTAAGAGAAGCAGGTAAAGAAATAGAATTTGTTTTATGATGTGGGAAGGGGACAAACAAGACCATAAAGACTCCCGCTCCTGATGTCGTTCTGGAAGGGAAGATGGGGTGGGGGGTGGCGGGGGGGGGGTGGAGATGGCCGTCCCTGCGTGCGGATCTCTCCTCCCAACTCGCTGTCAGTGCATCAGGATAAAAGGTCTTCCCGCCCCCACCCCAGTGTTTACCAGCAGCCAGGATTGTTGGGTATTAAATGATAGCGCATCCATTTGTGACCCTCTCTCCCATTCTGGCCCTGGCAAGCTGAACCACGTCTCTCTTTCTCCTAGCACAGCTCTGGCTTGCTCTCTAACAGGAAAAAGAAACCCAACAACACTGAAAGAGTCATTTATTCCTTTGAAAGTTTCAACAGCTATCAGTTTAGTTGCCATGACAACCAAGACCCCGTCCCAGGAGCCATCTCCCCCTCCGGCTCCCTTTGGTTGTCCTGTCGCTCCTCTGGTTTCCACACTATTTCCACCCGTAAGAGCCGGGTCTGGATTATTCTGGTCCACTCAGCTGACCTTCATTCTCCCCCAGGCCCTCCGGGAGGTAGGCTCCCACCTGCTCTTCTCTTGACTTCCCGCTCCCAGGCCCACCCTCTGGCGTCCACGACACCCCTGCACACGGGCCAATTGCCTCCTCCCAGGGACCCCTTCTAGTTCTGCCCCCAGGCTGTTTCTCCCTTCCTGGTACAGCTTGGTTCCATTCTTCCCCTCCCCCGCTGGCCAGGGCCACTGAGAGTCCAGGTCAGCCCAGGACTGCCCCCGGCCAAGTTGTGACATCGGAGGTTATAAATGACTCTACAGTGGTCCCCTTGAAGCTGGGCAGGGCTGAGGCTACAAAAATGAAACACGGAAAAGCTTTCTATTGGGAGTGACTGGAGGAATTATATGTAAGAATATGCTCCCCCCTCCAGCTGATACTAGAAATTCAACCTTGGAGGGACGCCGGGGTGGCTCAGTCGGTTAAGTGTCTGACTCTTGATCTCAGCTCAGGTCTTGATCTCAGGGTCATGAGTTCAAGCCCTGCGTTAGGCTCCACACCCAGCGTGGAGCTTACTTAAAAAAAAAAAAAAAAAAGGAAAAGAAATTCAACCTTGGAAAATTCATTCTTAGGAGCTGGGAAGGCATGGTCTCCTGGTCAAGTACACCTGCCCTCAGGGGAGGTAGACTTAACTGGCAATCAGCATCTGGCCTGAGTCCCTTTCTCAGATGCTTTCCACGCTCTGGCAGAGCTAGCTCCCGTCCCGCGGGTGGCTGGGAGCTCTGCCTCCAGCTGGCCTGGTCAGTCCTGCTGGGAGCCTTGGCCTCTCTCCTTCCTTGTCTGAGAAGCCTGACTGCTTCTTTCCTCCTGAAGATGCTCCTGAGTTCCTTGCCTCCTGGAATCGGGTGTGTGGGCTACAGGATTCCAGGCTCTCCCTTCTGCCGTTGTCCCTGAAAAAAAGAAAGAAAGAAAGAAAAGCGCAGACCCTATTCCTTTTAACAGCCACGCCACTGAGAAGTGACACACGAGCTAACGAAATCCGAGAAGCCATTGTCTTACTCATTTTTCCCCTGGTCTCAAGGGGGCCACCTGCATCTCCAGAGCTAAAGTAAAGTAAAGTAAAGACCCTCCCAGCAGAGGATCCCTTTGGGCAGCGTGGCAGCAGGCGTGTCCCTCGGACAAGACCAGAATGGAGATGCTTGGCACTGGGGACACCTTGCCCCACGAGCAACCATTGGCATCTCTTTAGAGCGAGTGACATCCCTGTGGGAACCCTCTCCTCCATTGATCCGGATGTGACATGGAGGCCAATTTGCCAGAAGACAGCACGAGGCCCTCGAGCGGGGGGGACTCAGCAGGGAGGCCAGGGACCCAGGCCTGGACACAAGGCCTGAGTGTCAGTAGGAAGGGGTGGCTGCAGGTCCAGGATGTCAGCTGCCACCAGAACTCATCAGTCCCATCGCCCTGGGACAGAACTTGTTCAAGGTGGAGGGACGGTTTGGCCCTCAATGCTGGAGAGTCTCGGGAACGAGATGAGGCAGACATGTCCGTGTTTCCCAGGGGCAACACTAAGATTTCCAGCCTTTAGACTCGGCAGCCCTCCAGGCAGATGGCCGGGCCCTGGGACTGTGGGCTCAGACCCGGGGCTGCAGTGATGCCCAGCTCTCAAGGCCCAGACCAAGGGGCTGGCTCTGCGGACCCCATGCCTAGGGTCTGAACTGATTGCTAGACCCACGGAAGTGCCCTAGGGGTATGAAAGCCTGGTCTTTCTGCCCTCAGGCAGGAGGGTTCTGGCCTCCGGTGAAAGGTGGAGGCTAATGGGCATGTGTGAATACTCACCAGCAGGAAACACCATAGATGTTCTAGCACATACTGGCATCCCGCAGGAAGGAGTATCCCCTGGGAGAGGCACGTCCTCCTGAGAAGTAAGGCAGAGGATTGGTCCTAACAGGCAGTCAGACCACCCCTCAGCACCTACAAATACCAATGCCCCGGGCCAGAAGCCAGGGGGCAAATTTGGCTATTTCCATATCTGGACCACGCCTGATTTACATGCATAGCCAGAGCCTCGTATCAAAACCATCTTTCCCCGGGTCCTCAGAACGGTTTACCCTGGACCTCTGGCCCTGGTTCTGAGCTCTTTGGAACATTTGGGCAGACCTGAGCCAAAGAAGAGCTCTTTCTCCTGTCCCAGGGCAGGCTCCAAACCCAGCTCTGAGTGCCCGGCACTCCGGACTTCTGCAGTGACTGAGGGTTGCCTGAAGGTAACACGAGACAGGTCCCTTCTGTTCGTATCACA